ACTTTAAGGAATGGGACTGTGCCATATATTTCCAATTATCTATTATCGTGAAATTAATACCGAAGACATTTGAAACACCAGACAACCTATCTATCGTCTTCAAATGTCGTCTACGATCGAAATTAAAAAAAAAACATAACATAATACTCTCAAAAATGCTAAATCGTTGAAAAAATATTTAAAAACAAATAATGCGTTAAAACTGCAAATATGCTAAAATCGTACCTCGTATGATCTTTGCCATCGTACTCTAAGATTTGACGTGTTTCTGTGTTCATCACTTTGACGAATCTTTACATTCTTATTAATACAAACGTTACCCTAAGTTTAGAATAAAAACTCACAAATGGATCGATTAATTACCAGTATTTCTAACAAGGTGTCAAATCTTCCTCCTTATCTCTATCTCATTTTCTATATCTTACTCTCGGGTGTTATGACAATGATAAGTCTATATTCTATATCTTAGTCTCGGGTGTTATGACAATGATAAGCGTATATTCTATATCTTACTCTCGGGTGTTATGACAATGATAAGTCTATATTCTATATCTTACTCTCGGGTGTTATGACAATGATAAGTCTATATTCTATATCTTAGTCTCGGGTGTTATGACAATGATAAGCGTATATTCTGTATCTTACTCTCGGGTGTTATGACAATGACAAGCCTATTTTCTATATCTTAGTCTCGGGTGTTATGACAATGATAAGCGCATATTCTATATCTCACTCTCGGGTGTTATGACAATGACAAGCGTATATTCTGTATCTTACTCTCGGGTGTTATGACAATGATAAGTCTATATTCTATATCTTAGTCTCGGGTGTTATGACAATGACAAGCCTATTTTCTATATCTTAGTCTCGGGTGTTATGACAATGATAAGCGTATATTCTATATCTCACTCTCGGGTGTTATGACAATGATAAGCGTATATTCTATATCTTAGTCTCGGGTGTTATGACAATGATAAGCGTATATTCTATATCTCACTCTCGGGTGTTATGACAATGACAAGCCTATTTTCTATATCTTAGTCTCGGGTGTTATGACAATGATAAGCGTATATTCTATATCTCACTCTCGGGTGTTATGACAATGATAAGTCTATATTCTATATCTTAGTCTCGGGTGTTATGACAATGATAAGTCTATATTCTATATCTTACTCTCGGGTGTTATGACAATGATAAGTCTATATTCTATATCTTAGTCTCGGGTGTTATGACAATGATAAGCGTATATTCTGTATCTTACTCTCGGGTGTTATGACAATGACAAGCCTATTTTCTATATCTTAGTCTCGGGTGTTATGACAATGATAAGCGCATATTCTATATCTCACTCTCGGGTGTTATGACAATGACAAGCGTATATTCTGTATCTTACTCTCGGGTGTTATGACAATGATAAGTCTATATTCTATATCTTAGTCTCGGGTGTTATGACAATGACAAGCCTATTTTCTTTATCTTAGTCTCGGGTGTTATGACAATGATAAGCGTATATTCTATATCTCACTCTCGGGTGTTATGACAATGATAAGCGTATATTCTATATCTTAGTCTCGGGTGTTATGACAATGATAAGCGTATATTCTATATCTCACTCTCGGGTGTTATGACAATGACAAGCCTATTTTCTATATCTTAGTCTCGGGTGTTATGACAATGATAAGCGTATATTCTATATCTCACTCTCGGGTGTTATGACAATGATAAGCGTATATTCTATATCTCACTCTCGGGTGTTATGACAATGATAAGTCTATATTCTATATCTTAGTCTCGGGTGTTATGACAATGATAAGTCTATATTCTATATCTTACTCTCGGGTGTTATGACAATGATAAGTCTATATTCTATATCTTAGTCTCGGGTGTTATGACAATGATAAGCGTATATTCTGTATCTTACTCTCGGGTGTTATGACAATGACAAGCCTATTTTCTATATCTTAGTCTCGGGTGTTATGACAATGATAAGCGCATATTCTATATCTCACTCTCGGGTGTTATGACAATGACAAGCGTATATTCTGTATCTTACTCTCGGGTGTTATGACAATGATAAGTCTATATTCTATATCTTAGTCTCGGGTGTTATGACAATGACAAGCCTATTTTCTATATCTTAGTCTCGGGTGTTATGACAATGATAAGCGTATATTCTATATCTCACTCTCGGGTGTTATGACAATGATAAGCGTATATTCTATATCTTAGTCTCGGGTGTTATGACAATGATAAGCGTATATTCTATATCTCACTCTCGGGTGTTATGACAATGATAAGCGTATATTCTATATCTCACTCTCGGGTGTTATGACAATGATAAGCGTATATTCTATATCTTACTCTCGGGTGTTATGACAATAATCAGCCTATTTTCTATATCTTAGTCTCGGGTGTTATGACAATGTTAAGCGTATATTCTGTATCTTACTCTCGGGTGTTATGACAATGACAAGCCTATTTTCTATATCTTAGTCTCGGGTGTTATGACAATGATAAGCGTATATTCTATATCTCACTCTCGGGTGTTATGACAATGACAAGCGTATATTCTATATCTTACTCTCGGGTGTTATGACAATGATAAGCGTATATTCTGTATCTTAGTCTCGGGTGTTATGACAATGATAAGCGTATATTCTATATCTTAGTCTCGGGTGTTATGACAATGACAAGCCTATTTTCGATATCTTACTCTCGGCTGTTATGACAATGATAAGCGTATATACTATATCTTACTCTCGAGTGTTATGACAATGATAAGCGTATATTCTATATCTTACTCTCGGATGTTATGACAATGATAAGCGTATATTCTATATCTCACTCTCGGGTGTTATGACAATGATAAGTCTATATTCTATATCTTACTCTCGGGTGTTATGACAATGATAAGTCTATATTCTATATCTTAGTCTCGGGTGTTATGACAATAAGCATATTTTCTATATCTTACTCTCGGGTGTTATGACAATGATAAGCTGTTTTTTCCATATCTTACTCTCGATGCCATGATTGGTATATAATTTATGGCAACGTGACTCTACCAAAATTGATAAACTTTTTGAAGATAAAAAAAATCTACAGAGGATTTGAATCCTGTAGCGTTTCTTGATATTTTACGAACAGCCACTTTCTACTTTCATTCCGTGCTATAGATACACGTCAATAGCGCTTGTGTATATAAATAGAATTTTTTCAAGGTATGCCTTGTTCAGCGGCGAAAACCGCTTCAACAGGTAGGGGCACCAAAGACGGAATGTCTTATACATTTCAGAGTATATTCAGCTGTTTTATGATAACCGGTTGATGGCCCTAATGACCTTGTATGTGTTAACGGACCGTTACGAATTTCATAATAATAATAATAAAAGCTCTTTTATAGAAATAGTTTATAAAAGTTCACTCTTTCTCTTAAATCTAATCACTTGTCAATCAAAAATGTTCCTTTCAACAATACGTATCTCCATTTAAAGACATGAATGTATATTTATGTCTTCGCATGACATTATTTCTCAGGATTATTTTCTCGTTATATCTTTTTGAAAAGATCATTTTAATTTCTATGGTGATAAGTAGCACAGAAGACGTGGGCTAATAAAGTGGCCAAAGCCATTTTCCTTTATCATTTAGCTAGTGCTCACTTGAAATGCAATATAAAAATTCTGCGTGAAACATTTGAAAAAAAAATCTGTTTCTGGTACGTTTCGTATCTGAAGGTGAAAGTTCGATGCTGACATGAAAAATGCGCTGAATATGATATTGGCTTTCGTTTAAAGCTATATACAGAAATATGATACCACCCTTAGCTTTATTAGCTCTTCAATGGGAGGCAACTCCCACTTTCCGTTTGAGATTTGAAAACGAGGCATCGCGCCATCAACACCAGTTTGATTTAGTTAGTAGACCAGAAGATCTGCATTATGTGTAACGCTATTCGAAGATACCCACTCTGCAATGTCACGACAGAGTACATGATGAAAAGTGATTGAGCTTTATATCTGTACCCTCTAGTATGCATGTTTTTTCTTCTTACTCTCGTGACAAGGATCTGCGTGTCAACCAAGTTAGGCAAGTGACAGGAACAGAAAGTAGAATGTCAAAATAAGTTCGTCCTACATACGTACAGTACCGGTAAGTATTACGATGTAAATTGTTACTGAAGTTTGAACAATGCGATTTTAAGTCATCGTTATCGCCAGCTCGTGAGTTCACTACCCTGCTATTTTCAGATGGCACATTACGTTTACTTCTTAATTTAATTTGAAGATGCGCAGTAATGTATTTTTCGTACATCTTAGGCTGTCATATCCCTGTGTTTTCTAAAATAACTTATAATACAACGATATTGCAGACATCAGTACTCTGTAGGAAATGGATGGCCGTAGTATTTTGTCATAACAAATGAATGATTAGGTTTTTATTTTTAATCAACATTATACATATAATAAATAGTCTGCACTCTTAAGATTGTCAGGCAGGCCGTTGGCAACACTCATCCATATGTAAGCAAGGTTTCATTTTCAAAAAGAGGTAATATTTTGTAAATACAGTCAAACTTCTGTGAATCAAACTTGAATGGCTAAAATTTCTTGTTGTTATAAATTGTTTGCGTAGTTCTGAATTTGATTTGTATATTTTATTACTAACTTACCCCTTTAGGAATGGAAGTTATATAAAGTGAAGTTTTCCATGTATCATTTTTTTGTAATGTTCACCACTGCCATTTCAGTAATAGCATATAGTGAGATCAAATTTATGAATTTTGAAAACAAATGGAGGAAATCCTGAACAATTTCATGATAATTTCACTCATTCTGAAAGCATCACTTTTCAATTTCAAGCATAAAAGCATGAAACTCTGTCGATAAAGGTTTTAGATGAGGCATGGTCTTTCTCAACACTCTGTCTGTCGGTAAAGGTTTTAGATGAGATGTGGCCAATCCTCAACTCTGTCTGTTGCTGTAGGTTTCAGATGAGACATGGCCAGTCCTCATCTCTCTCTTTTGGAGAATTCTTTGAAGCAACAACTGATCCCCATCTTTGCCAATCTAAGTGAGGATATACTTGACATTTGTGTCCGTGACCCGAGTAACCTCTCCGACCTCCAGCTGTGTATTGATGATCTATTGGAACTACGTACCTATTCACAACATTTGGCAAAATCCACTACACACTCACCTGAAAACTGGCCAAGACGAGATCCAGTGGTTGTCGATTCTGATGGCAAGTAACAAATCATCAAAGCTATATCAAGAGCTGTGCATATATATATTTTGACTTTTGTAATATTTCATATCATGGACTTAAAAAAATTCAGTTGATCATAAAATGAAATGACATTTTTAATTTTGAATATATAGAATGAGTTTTCAGAGAAGTGATATATTAATGGATTATTTTGCATTATCTCTCTTTCTGTTCTGGTTGAAAATATAAGAAAGAGTCTACGAACACCAGATTTTGTTAAGTTGAAGTGAAATGCTTTTAGTAAAATCTTAAAACGCTTTATTGACATGTGCTACCCCAATTGACAAAACACGGGCATTCAGATATTAATCACGAAAATATATGGCAATATAATGATAAAAGTATTGGCAATTTAATTCTTTAATTTTCAAAGTAAAGTGTTCTACAGTGTTTGTCTTTCAAAACTCCCTTAAGTTTTAACATTGGTGTTCTGTTGTAGATGATGTGGACCTTGTCGGTGCTCTGATAAGTGCTGAGAGTGAAGAGGTGCAGATTACTCAGCAATTTCCAGCCACGCGCAGCCTGGACAAAGATTGTCTTGTGACAGATGTTGATACATCTGGTACAAAAAAGGGCTCTTCCGTGAAAATTTGTGAGGCAAAATTCAAATCGCCCAGTTTTACTTCCCCTCAGAAAGTCAACCTGCTGGATTCTATTGAGTTTGACAGTGATCTTCCACGTTTTTCTCCTATCAGTAAAGAAAAATCGAAATCTCCAACTGCCCATACGCTTACAACTGAGAATGACATAATCTCCTCAAGAGTCAGAACCAGTACTTCTATCTTGGACATGGGACATACAGCAGTGGTGCACCAGTGGTGCCAAAACCCTGTGAAATCCCTCTTCACTTCACCTTCCAGACAAAAGTGTCATTTAGGATCAGAACCGTTAGTGAGTATTAAAGCCTGTGACCCTGACACTGTACCAGGTAAAGATGACATGAAGCCTAAATCTGCTGTCTTAGGGATACTGTCACCAGCCAAGCTAAAATTACCTTCATCTCCATTGAAGCCTAAATCTGCTGTCTCAGGGATACTGTCACCAGCAAAGCTAAAATTACCTGCATCTTCATTGAATCAGAAATCAGCTGCCTCAAACTCGCACAAGTATAGGTTCAATCCAGATTCATTTCAGTCTAGCTCTGTTCCAGTTATACGTCCCTCTGTATTCAACCCAGATAGGAAAGAATCATTTACATCCAGCGACAATCCACACAGTGTATCTACTGACAGAGCTCTTCCAGCTGCAACAGCTGACAGTGTATTACCAACTAAAACAGCAGGTACATCACAAGAAACAAAGCCAAAAAAAATCAAATTTAAGAAATCCCTCATCCTGCCTGGAGACCAGTCATCAGCTCCCACAGCAACTTCAGGTGATAGAATACCAGAGAAGTTTCAGGTATCTCAATCCAAAGTGGGTAGACAAGAAGATAAGGATTTTCTGCAATCAAATCTTTCTCATCTTAAAGATCAAAATGGATCTTTATCATCAGCTAATAAAAAGAAAAATGTGTTATCAACATCAAATGGACACCTTAGTAATATTCAATCAAATACACAGGACAATGGATTGTTAGCTACAACATCAGATTTAGATATGTCACAATTTGTGTATGTAAAAGGACAAGAAACTGCGATGGAAGCTGGTGCCTGTAACCAGCCTAGACTTCAGTCACAGCCTTCATCAAATGATAACCACGGACATACCATAATACTACAAAAGAATTCACATGAAGAACCCTTGATTCAGAGGCCTGTGGCAACATCAAAATGGACTGATACCCATACACCTAAACCATTACAAACTGCCAGTGGACTGCAGACTTCAAACAATAGGCCACAGCTACAGACAGGTTTGTCACAATCCTTGACTTTAAACAAGAATCAGACACTGCCTCAGCAGCCACAAAATTTAGCCATCAGTAGGCCACTGGCCCCAACATCAACTGTGATACAAGCTGAAGATGCTGGAAAAATGGCCTCAAATACATCACAGAATTCCACTGTCTTAAATTGTCTTGCTTCACAATCTACAGATCCCAGTAGACACCATTCCAAATCTAATGTACAACAGACTTCAACCATTACCTCAAATGTGAATCAACTGAACAGTTCTAGTGTGAGACAAGATGCACACATTTTGTCTTTGAATAAGCCTCAGTCAATGCCAAGTAGACAGCAAACTGTTATCTCTACTTCAAAGGCAGAGGCCCCATCTATAGCAAAGCTGTCATCAACATTAGATATATTAACAAATGAAGACATTGTAGCCTCAGCATCCGGGGACTTCAAGACACAATCAGTTAAAAGGCCAGAATCTTCTGCTTCATCAACAATAACAGGACAGTCACTGAAATCAACTTCTAATACAAAACTTACAGCTGCATCATCAGCATCAAGATCACCAGCATCAACATCATCATCATCAACATCATCAGCATCAATATCATCAGCATCAACATCATCAGCATCAACATCATCAGCATCATCACAAGCATCAAAGGATGGTAAGACTTCACCTGCAGTAAACAAAACTGTTGTCACAAAACTCAGCAACCAGACTGCCCCGTCAGTCCATCAAAATACTGCTGCTCCTGGTGCAAACAACTCTAAAGCAGAAGCTCGCTTGGTTACAGCAAGGTAAGATGTTGAAAATAGATCTAAATACTGGATTGTTAACTTAGAAATGATCTTATTTACTACAGTGGTGTGACTTGGAACCCATTCATTCTGAATCTTGAAGACAGTGGAATTTTTAGTATCACAATATTAGAACCTTTGAATTATGAAAAACTTATAAAAACTAAACTTTTAACTAAATTCCAAGGTATTATCTTCACTTATAGAATATATAACCTAACTGTAATGACATGTGAAAAATGTCCTTCAAACAGAAACACTTAAATACGACATACTGACATAGGTGAGGTACCCTGTGTCATGTATCCAATCTCCCACATCCTGTCCCCCTGCTAGAGATGAGTCCCAGCCCTTCAGCTAGGGGGAGATGGCCCAGCATAACACCTCTACCTTTCCAGCACAGCAACATCCTTATGTGATCTACAGTACCTAAACAATCCTGTCTGTCACACAAGCCAGCTTTTCTACCTAATCTACCACTATGTTTGTGCATTAGACCATGTAAATAACTCATGTGTTATCCACTTCTTGTTAGCAAATATGTAATATTAGATTATCAATGTCTACGACTTTTAGTATAAATACGACTAGGTTTCTAGCCAGTCGTCGAATCGGTTCCTGAAGGCATGCGAGTGTACCACCTCTCCATGTCTACACACAATAAATTTACATCAACCTGAACAGCGTTTGGATTTCTTCATCTCCACTCAACACTGCACCACTCTTCATTCTCAACAAAGAAGTTCACCCACTACACTTTATCGGACACCACTTCACTTTATTGGTGCCGTGACCTCGGACACCGCTTCACTACGATCACCGGTCATTCGTAAGGTAAGTGAATTGATTTTTATCTTTTTATCCGTAGAAACATTTGAACCTAAGTCATTTTTTACTTACTAATTAATCTATACATATATACATACATGTTTCTTTTATTATAATAAGTCTTTTTCTAAATCTATAATGGAAGAAAATCAACACACCCAATCTTCAACTGAATATGCCATCCAGTTACTTAAAGCTGTAGATTGTGCCATGATAGAAAATACACAATTCCCATCACAAATACACACAGCTCCTTACAACACACATACTTACACATGTAGAGATGAAGAACCAATAGAAATAGACACTACACGGGTAAGATCCATAAACACTTATACGCATGACAACAGAAATTCACACTCCACAGGAACTCGACCACAGAAACATACCACAAGTCACAAATCACAATATCACACTTACCCAGATCAACAGTCTACATACCGACACCATCATAATCCCTCTGGTCACCAGACTTCTTACGCAACAAATTCACACAAGTCTACACAACACTATCGCCACAGGGGTACAAACAACCATCACAGACACCCAAAGCCACAATCATATCATTACAACACAACAAGTATTAAATATTTCATTTAGTTCATTATGGAAGCCATTCCAAGATAAATTTCCAAACTATTCTTCCACATAAGTTACAAACAATGGAAAAAATACCAATGAAATCTTTAATTCAGCAACTATCAGAAATTGAACCAATTGAAAGTAATCTTTGGGATTATAAACAGTATTTTATTCCTATTTTCACGTGTTTAGGCTTAGTTTTAGTATTTTTTAGTATATTTTGTGTATGGTTCAAATGTTTCTTGCGGAAAAAGACAAAACGTCAATTTACGAAATCGAACGCCATTGACCAAAATGATCAAGACGGACACAAACCAAAATATTCCAGTCCAGCGGATGTAGCAGAAATACAACTAACACAGCCGTTGATGCCACCCATGTATCCAGCACAGCTCTATCCACACCTACAAAACATACTTCCACCACCAAGAATTGAAGAAGAGCCAGTGTAGAAATATTCATCAAACATGTTGACATTTACATTTATTTTCGTTAAATTTCGTCGTTTTGTCCTCTCGTCAAAAGAGACACTATTTCCAACATCATCCTTATTTTACAAGTTTTTCTACTATGGAGAGTTTACCTTACGTGATATTCAACACGGAGTGACCATTGTTTTCTTAAACTCTACCATAATGTGTTTGAAACAGAGTTAGTGATGTGGTTTAACACACACAAAAATGTAATTCTCTGTATCTTATACGACACATCTAGTAGAACTCAACAATATTTCGACGCACAGGAATCATCCGATGCAGTCTAATGCCGGAAAGACAGAAGAAGTCTTCGTTTCCTGATCAGAATCGTATTTATTATTTTACCTCTAACGACGAACTTTGTATTGTTTTTTCATTAACTCTTCATCGTTTGTCTCAGCCTTTTTGTGCGAGATATCACGTCTAGACGGTAGTACGTCAACCAAGAACTTTTCGTCATTTTCATATTTACAAGACTCATCATGTGATGAACATTACTTTTATTTGGCCTCTTCGTCAAGACTTGTGATTTCGAACCTTCGCCGTGTGGAACTATCAACTTGTGGAGTGATTGAACTGTCTTATTAATATTTCGAACTGTACTATTCATATAATAACTGTAATATCAATTTATTATTGCCTTTCGTTCTCAGTTCTTTATTAGTACACAATACTTTTATGTTTATTCTATTGCAAATATTGTAAAATTGCATGTATTACATGTAAGTTTTTATATCTAAATATTATATTGACCTCGTACATTACCTATGTATGTTACATCTTAAGTAGTATTTTATATATTTATGTCTATTAATTATAAGGAACCATCCCTTAATCGGGTAATAACAATAATTAATCGTTATGATTTACAAAAGTTTTCAATTACTAGTTTTATCAGATCTCAATGATCTATTTTTTATTTTTTTTAAATGTTATCTTGAAATGTTACAAATTGTGCTGTTTTACATATCATTATCCTTAGAGAGTTCCAAATCAATTATGTTTTCAACATATTCACACAAATTTTATTCACATACTATTTGGAGAGTTTCGCCTACGTGATATTACACGAGGATTTAAATGTTTAAACTCTACCATTTTATTTATGTCAGAGTCAAAGTCAGTGACGTGGTTGTACATGCACAATATTCATATGAAAGACTTTGTTACTCATAAGACATATTTACACAAATACATATTTCTATGCGGATGAAACATTCCCGAAACATTTATATATCAATAACTTAATGATAAGGAACTTTCTGATTTTATTTCATTTTCTCATCAATTGTACTAGTCATAGCCTTATTGTGAGCGTGACGTCATGACTTAGCATAAAAGACGGTGGTACGTCGTAACTAAGTATATTTACATATTTTTTCATTCATTATTTGTAACACAGCACAATGAAAACATTTGTCGATAATTGAAATTTATCAAAGTCGAGCGAAAGCCTTACTATCCACTTGATTATTTTTTTTTCTTCTCTTCGTTTTTTATCAAAATGTACATCGTTAACAAGCAAGTTTCATGGTTATTCATGGTTTTATTACAAAGGGACGTAACGAACTATTAGTATTTTCATAGATGATGTCAAAATTATAACTAATTTGAAATCAATTTTATACAAAGGGACGAATGAACTATCAATGTCTACGACTTTTAGTATAAATACGACTAGGTTTCTAGCCAGTCGTCGAATCGGTTCCTGAAGGCATGCGAGTGTACCACCTCTCCATGTCTACACACAATAAATTTACATCAACACTGCACCACTCTTCATTCTCAACAGAGAAGTTCACCCACTACACTTTATCGGACACCACTTCACTTTATTGGTCCCATGACTTCACTTTAAGTGTTTATAAAGCCCTGACAAGATGGAGGTCATTTTATGTACCTGTGTTTACCTGTATGTGTACATCATGTTGATGTTGAGCAAGAAAAGGATAAGGTAATTATATAACAACTAGACTCCTGTTTCACACCTATTCTTTAAACTTTGTGTTCTTAATACACAAATACTTCAACTACTACATCATTTATCAGTTCAGATGTAGTCACCTGATTTATGAAATGACTTTAAATATAAAAAACAGGGAAAAAATGGTTAAAATTTAATGATAAAGAATTTAAAATTTGTGTCCCAAATTTTCTGCCCTATTTGTGTGTGGGAAGTATATTCTCATCCCTAATACTATGCCAATTGGTTTTTCTGAATTATAAGTAAAATGCTTACAGTTGTGATTTTTACCTACATGTTTATTTGGGTAAAGGGAGATTGTGTTTGTCAAGTTGAATTAACTTGCCCTACTCTCATTGTCATATATATGTTAAATGTGTTAAAATTTCCAAATAACTTTTTTTCCAAAATACACCTGCAGCATACTGGAAAGAAGGGAATTAACTGTTAAACATGAAAGTTGCTTAAATAAACTCCTCCAAGTTCTTCTCTATATCTCCTGAAAAAAGCTATTGCAGCCCATTCAGTCATTTAATATTAGACTTACCTCTCATACCTTTGTCTTTGTTTTTTTCCTGTTGTTAATTGTAAACAATGAATTGAATGTATCACTGATACTGCTATACATTGCTTACTGTAGTGTTGATACCCACACTGTAACCAGTCCAGCTCGTGGAGAGAAAATCCAAGCGCTTCCTACAACTCCGATTCAAGCCACAAAATCAAGGCCAGATTGTTTGGTTGATGATGTGGTAAGTCACGATATGAGTAAGCTATTGAAGTATAGAAAATATTCCTTATAACTTGACAATGATTAGATTAAAGTATTTAAACCATTGTCACAACTTAGTGGTCAGGTCATAAGCAAGTGCCATCGATACAGAACAGGTCATTCTCAGAGTACAGAACTGATCTTTCTCAATTCTATTTGGAAATTTCTTTTGTTCTTGTTTTATAGTGATTGTGCATGTTCAGCTTTGTGATTGAATTGTTGGGAAAATGAAATGACTTTTTCTTCTCTAAATTGAATTTTAACGTAAGAAGCAAAACCTGTGTGCCAGGTAGCGTTCTTGGATTTGACTACTAACACATGTACAGTTATAGACAGTACAAGTAAGAGAACATTTTGTAACTGTCAAGTATGATGTTTAGTTTGTTTCACCTATTCAGCCAGCAGTAGTACTGTAAAATCAGCTATTTTTTCGTGTTTTAACAAAATAACATTTTCATGGACACTTGATTTTGTTGGTAAATATAGTTTTTCAAGTCTACTTATACTGATGTTAACTAGTTTTTGTTGATGAAGAGAACCACTTCAAGTCTACTTATACTAATGGTAACTAGTTTTTGTTGATTAAGAGAACCACTTCAAGTCTACTTATACTAATGGTAACTAGTTTTTGTTGATTAGAGAACCACAAAAAGGATGATAATTAATCCCCCCACAAAAACTAATGATTTTCATAGAATACTACTTGATGTGTTTTGTTACTTACAGCTGGCACTGTTTGGAGATGCTGACCCGACCTATGTCAGGAAAATGATTGAAATGGAGCTTCTCACACAGCGCCTGGACCATGAGATTGTCAACAATCTTTGTAATCTGTTGTTAGAGAACCACGCCTACCCTCGGGCTAAACCCTCTGCTACAGTCACCAGTACAGAAGTCAAAAATACACAGGTAAGTAACGCCAGTGTCCAGCAGACAACCCACTCAACCCTCACAGTGACAATGATCTTTGACAGAAATAGTGCAGTTCTTACCATAAATCTGTTAAAGAATAGACAGCAGGTTTTGTCTGTGAATCTCAGTGGCTGCACAACAGCTATAGACCTAAAGAATAGATAGCAGGTTTTGTCTGTGAATCTCAGTGGCTGCACAACAGACCTAAATATCACCAACCAACTTGCGAGGGCTGATTGATAAGTTGTGAGCTGTGAGGAAGTTAAGCAGGGGTGTCCTTTTTCAGCTCTACTATTCTCTGACTATTTAAGGCTGAGTACCTGAAGATTGGTATCAATTGGTCAGTTAATGTCGAAGAGGTAGCACTCTAATGTAAACAAGGCAAAAGACTTTTGTAAATTGGAAAAAACCGTTGAAAGAGAGTTGATTCAATATTTGCATAAGAAAGGTCTAGCACCTAAGGATATCCATACTGATATGGTAGCAACACTAGGGAATGACACGCGTTCGTATGCTACAGTGAAAAGTTAGGTGGCAGAATTTAAGCATGGCAGGCAGTGTCTTGGGGATGACACCCATCCTGGAAGGCCTGTCACTGTTGCAGCCCCAGAAATGGCCAATGAAGTCCATGATACTGTTATGGCTGATAGGCATGTTTCAGAGAGATATATAGCCAGTACAGTTAGGATTTCACAGGAAACAGTACATTTCATTCTTATTGAAGATCTTGCAGTGAGAATGCTCTCATCCCAATGGGTACCAAGACTTCTTACAATTGCTGAGAGGCACAACAGACAGACTTTGGCACATGCTGATCTGAACCTTTTAGAGGCAGATCCTACTAACTTTCTGCAGAGATTTGTGACTATGGATGAAACATGGGTCCATCAGTTCACCCCAGAGGCCAAACAACAGTCTGAACAATGAAAGTACATTGGTTCAACCCCGCAGTGTGTTGTTCCACTAGGACAATGCCCCTGTTCACAAATCTATTATCGCCATGGCTGCCATTAACAATTGCGGATTTTTTAATAGATTGACCACTATTACAATGGTACCCATGAAGGGACATTGAACAATACTTGGCCATATGTCCAAGCATCATTGTAACCCATGGGAATTTTAGGACAAGTTATTTTCTGGAGTGGGAATATGTAACCCTTGTAAATACTAGCCACAATATCTCTGGAGAGAACTTCTCTTTAGCTCGATGGGTTGAGTGTTATACTATGGCCTACCAGTGGTGTGCTTTGCACTAAAACTTTTAGTGCATCATGGTTCTCTTTTTTTGTATCAAATCTCGTATCATGAATTCTGGAGAGCAAATCGTGTCAGGTCTAAATTTACAATCACCATCAGTAAACAAAATGGCAGACTCCAGGCAGTCCAAGGTAAGGGACCACTTCAAGTTTTTCGAACAAGGCAACAAGAAGGATAGTCACTGCATGTAACACATCCTAAAAAGTAAAAACAAAACAAGATCCACTACGTCCATGAATTATCACCCGAAATGAAAACAAAGGGTAGATATATCAACTGAATGTACTACTGGTTCTGCCCACTGTGCCATAACAGTACAGTCAACTTTGACTCCATGGACTGAAAATTAAGTCCTTCCAATCAATTGAAAGTAGCAAATCAGGTGGATAGACTGATATTTGTGAAGAATAAAGAAAGTGTTAAGAAAATAAAGTCTTATATATTTAATTCTGCTAAGACAGTCTAGTGTTAATTGCCATTTCCAACAACCTGACAAACTTTCTATTATAATGCAATGCATCAAATTCTTTCTGTTAATTTGATTGTTTGTAGTTTTGTTGAGCTTTAACTAAATGTATTCTTTTAATCTCTGAGACAAAGTCTAATGGTGACCTATTACAATCACATTTTTCAGGCATTCATATGTCAATAAACAATTTAACATTTTCAACTTCTTCTCAAAAATCCTGAACTGATTCAATAAATTGTGCAGAAACATTCCCTGGCATAAGATGGACCAATATAGTGAATTATATGGTACCCGCCCCACAGGAGCTTAAGGTGCAAGGCCAAAAGGGTCAAATATGATGCAAAATTCTAAAGCCTTCTTCTCAAGACCCAGATAGGGTAAAATCATAAGCACTTCATAGATGGAAGCATCTTAAGGTGTTTTACCAGAATTGTGAATTTCATGGCCCCAGGGTCTCACATTTCCCCGTGGGGAGGGGGTAAAGTTTACTATAGTTTATATAGGAAAAATAGATTTTTGAGCAAAAATTTTTTAATTTCTATTGGAAATATTTCAAACTTGTTTAGAATTATGAATGAAGGATGATGGCTAGATGGTATGCATATATTGATTCTGACTGGCCCGCAGGGGCTGATGCGGGGGGTCAAAAGGGGTCAAATTGACTTAGATTTGAACAAAATTTTCTTCTCAACACCAAGATATAGTAGAATAAAATGCTAGTTTATTTCTGACTGGAAATAACTTTTGTAAGAATTTTTAGGTTAGGATGACAGTTTTGATAATATGCATGTATTGACACTGGCTCATTATCGTCAATGTCACGATTTACTTTTCATGATACTTGAAAGCTTCTAAACCTTTATATTTAATATTGCTTATCTCAGGTGACGATCAAAGCTGCTAGGTCTCTTGTTGTTGTATATGAGGTGTTGTTATTAGTGAATTGCTGACAAAATCATTCAAGGTGGTTAGAATTTATTAATAACAATTGTATTTCTTGATTCATTTCGAAATTGTTCGAACCGAGAAGCTTTGAACAGAACTTGATTCAATGAAAGAGTCATTTATCCCAGTGTAAATCTTTGTTTTGTTATGCAACATTAGGTTTTGTAACGCAATGTGTAATGTGTTTTGTAACTTTACGATGAAAGTGATATATATATAAGATCTAAATGTAATGTATGATATACCTGAACTGGTCTGTGTATCGAATAACTCTACTTACTGATGTTGACAGGAAGTTGATGATGATAACTCTACTTATTGATGTTGACAGGAAGTTGATGATGTTGACTACTATGAAGTTTACAAGAAGAATGAGAGAAGGACAGGTTTATATTATCGTCAAACAGAGAAGCTTCTCATGCATCACTTTATATGGGTAAGGACAATTTATGTAGAGTGTGGTTGTATCATAAACTGAACTGGTATCAAGTACAGTGATCTGAATTTTTTAGGTCATCTGTTCAAAAGGGTCAGAATGACTCATACCCATTGTGTTTCATATGCCATCGTACACCATCCACCGTGCATAAACTTGCCTTTCAAATGACTTCTTCTCAGTAACCAGAAGGCTCAGGGTACTGATATTGGCCTGTAGCATGATAGGATGAAGGGCTACCAAGTTGGTTAAAATGAATTACCTTGACCTTCTTTTAAGGTCACAAAGGACCAAATATGTTAAAATATTTTAACAACTTCTTCTTAATAACCACAATGCCCAGGGTGCTGATGTTTGGTCTCTAGCATGATGAAGTAAAGGGCTACCAAGTTAATTAATATAAATGACCTTGACATACTTTTAAAGTCACAGGATTTAAGTATGTTAAAATCTTTTAAACAACTTTTTTAAGGTCACAGGGGCCAAATATGTTGAAATCTTTAAAAAACTTTTTCTCAATAACCAAAAGGCCCAGGATGCTGATATTGGACCTGTAACATGCTTTTTCAACAAAAAATATGTTGAAGTAATGACAATTATGTATTGCATGTAGAAAGAATATGATTCCAAGTTTTCAAAAGATGAAGGTATTTTATGGTCAGATGACCTGTGGGCCTCTTGTTTATGTTACACACTTTCTCTTCATGTGTGTGATATCAGATATCGGTGTTAGTAATTTTTGTTTACAGAAATCAGCAGTGTGAAGGATATGTATTGTTTACAAATTCCAGATGTTAGCACAGTGTATGCCAGATGTGTTGTTTACCATTTTCAGATATCAGCACATTGTGTTCGACATGTATTGAGGTGGTACAATGGACAGTATGCTCCTACACATCAGGTCCTTAGTCAAGTAATGAAACAGCGGAAGGAGGACATCAAAAAGGTCAAAGGTCAGCTATTGTAAAGCATAATCATTAACCTGTCTATAGTAAACCCTTGTGATGTATTATAATCATTAACCTGTCTATAGTAAACCCTTGTGATGTATTATAATCATTAACCTGTCTATAGTAAACCCTTGTGATGTATTATAATCATTAACCTGTCTATAGTAAACCCTTGTGATGTATTATAATCATTAACCTGTCTATAGTAAACCCTTGTGATGTATTATAATCATTAACCTGTCTATAGTAAACCCTTGTGATGTATTATAATCATTAACCTGTCTATAGTAAACCCTTGTGATGTATTATAATCATTAACCTGTCTATAGTAAACCCTTGTGATGTATTATAATCATTAACCTGTCTATAGTAAACCCTTGTGATGTATTATAATCATTAACCTGTCTATAGTAAACCCTTGTGATGTATTATAATCATTAACCTGTCTATAGTAAACCCTTGTGATGTATTATAATCATTAACCTGTCTATAGTAAACCCTTGTGATGTATTATAATCATTAACCTGTCTATAGTAAACCCTTGTGATGTATTATAATCATTAACCTGTCTATAGTAAACCCTTGTGATGTATTATAATCATTAACCTGTCTATAGTAAACCCTTGTGATGTATTATAATCATTAACCTGTCTATAGTAAACCCTTGTGATGTATTATAATCATTAACCTGTCTATAGTAAACCCTTGTGATGTATTATAATCATTAACCTGTCTATAGTAAACCCTTGTGATGTATTATAATCATTAACCTGTCTGTAGTAAACCCTTGTGATGAATGATATCATTTACCTGTCTATAGTAAACCCTTGTGATGTATTATCATTGTAAACATGTCTTTAGTAAACCCTTGTGAAGTATTATCATTGTAAACCTGTCTATAGTAAACCCTTGTGATATATTATCATTGTTAACCTGTGTATAGTAAACCCTTGTGATGTATTATAATCATTAACCTGTCCATAGTAAACCCTTGTGATGTATCAACCTGATGCAGTTTAATTTCTGAATTAAATGGTCTTGATCACTTTGAGGTAATATGGCTGAAGCAGATCTTTTGAATTTTATTGTTCTCAAATTTTTCTGTTTCTGTTACAGGAGATGTTCAGTATTGTCTGAAAACACATTCCTTACATGCTGGAGCTGTCATCGACATCATTGTTACTGTTTGTAAGTATCCATATCACTATCACTCTTTGTATGTATCAACATCACTGAGTCTACGTCATCACCCTGGTATAACACACTATACCCTCAATATCATCATTTCCGTTTATTTGTATCCCTACTTACCATACAACACTTTGGTGCTATATTTGTTACACATTTATTGACATAAGAATGCCATTTTGATTCAGATGGTAAAGAGCGGCCATTGTCTGTCATGCTGTTGAAGAACTGGCGTAAAACTTCACCTCCAATGATGTGTGATCTTGATCCATACCTTCAACGTGAAATCAGCTTCATCAGACAAAAACAATTAGATGAATTTGAGGTTTGTAATAAAGCTGTGTGTTATATAACATTCTGCAGTCACACTTAAAAGTTTTAATGAACATCTGATCAGCTACATATAGCCAATACTACCACCTTATCACATAGATAATGTTGTCACACCATTTGTTACACTTAACATCTAGTCACATAATTCAATATACATCCAAAGGTACTATCCACTGGCTCTTTACATCCAGTGACACTAAATATTCATTAACTCTTGATATTCATTATCCTGTGATATTTAATATCCAGTGACTCTCAAGTTACTTTTAATATACTGTTACTCTTAATAGTCAGTGACACTTAATATCCTGTTACTCTTAATAGTCAGTGACACTTAATATCCTGTTACTCTTAATAGTCAGTGACACTTAATATCCTGTTACTCTTAATAGTCAGTGACACTTAATATCCTGTTACTCTTAATAGTCAGTGACACTTAATATCCTGTTACTCTTAATAGTCAGTGACACTTAATATCCTGTTACTCTTAATAGTCAGTGACACTTAATATCCTGTTACTCTTAATAGTCAGTGACACTTAATATCCTGTTACTCTTAATAGCCAGTGACACTTAATATCCTGTTACTCTTAATAGCCAGTGACACTTAATATCCTGTTACTCTTAATAGCCAGTGACACTTAATATCCTGTTACTCTTAATAGCCAGTGACGCTTAATATCCTGTTACTCTTAATAGCCAGTGACGCTTAATATCCTGTTACTCTTAATAGCCAGTGACGCTTAATATCCTGTTACTCTTAATAGCCAGTGACGCTTAATATCCTGTTACTCTTAATAGCCAGTGACACTTAATATCCTGTTACTCTTAATAGTCAGTGACACTTAATATCCTGTTACTCTTAATAGCCAGTGACACTTAATATCCTGTTACTCTTAATAGCCAGTGACACTTAATATCTTGTTACTCTTAATAGCCAGTGACACTTAATATCCTTTTACTCCTAATATTCTGTGACTCTTAATATCCAGTTACTCATTTCGTCAAGTTATTCTTAATGTCCAGTTATTCTGTATATCTGGTCACTCTTTATGTTCAGTTACTATTGATATCCTGTCATTCTTTACATCCTTTAATTCTAGTCATACGTATCATCATACCATCCAGTCAGCATCCAGTGATAGATACTCTCTAGTCACTGTTGATATTCAGTCACCCTGAACATCCAGTTACTTTTTACATTCTTAAGATAAAGTTTAAAGCAAACTTCAGGGTAGTATTCCTTAGATGAGAAGAACTTCGGTACATTTTGTTACTAAAGTAGATTAATTTAAAACAGGAGGCAGACCGTCAGATGGCTCTGATGCTGAATGAGACGGAATATGAGGAAAGCGGACAGCTGATAGAGTGTGGATGTTGTTATGGTGAAGTGCCATTTGATAACATGATACAGTGTTATGAAGGACACCTTTTCTGTGAGGACTGCCTACAAAGATATGCGAAAGAGGCCGTGTTCGGGGCTGGAAAGGTAAAATGGTATTTTTACTCCTGATCCTAGTTTTTACTAGTCGTTCACTTTTAATAAATCCCAGTCAATATCTTAGATATGAAATTTAAAGTTATCATTGACAAATGAAATTCAAAATTCATACATTGTAAGGTCATCTTCCTCAAAAGGTCAGGATGACCCAAGCCACTGTGTTGTTCTTTTTTGACATCAGGGAAAGTTCATTATAGCAGCCATGGCAGCCAATGTATAACATGATTGTGCAGCCATGTTTTTCCTGAACAACTCATTTTAAAAACATTTTCTCAAACTTCAACTGTAGGATTCTGCTCAAATTTGCCAGACATGTTCCTGCGATGGTCCTTACCTGGAATTGAACTTTTTCTGCTCATTGAGTTTCAGTGTGATGTTGAAAATCAAGTATAAAATGCCTCTTGCAAGACACATTTCAAACTACTTCTCAAGTTTCACTGGTGCCATTGAGCTGAAATTGTGAGGGAATGTTGAGAAATTGAAATTAGGATTGTCTTTGTTTTTACTGTTGAAATATTTCCAAGTTTTTTAATCATTTAATTAGAGTCCTTGCTGCTGTTTTATGTGTTTATAGTCAGATGGCTGTTATGGTCCATGAATCTCTTGTTTAATCAGAGATTTGATGGTCAAGTTGACTATTGTCAGAGCCAGTATTCAGACTTATTTCCCATTGGCTGACAGTTTCTGCAATGTTTATTAGGTGACATTGTAGCTAAACCTACTGACATGTTACATGGTGACATTGTAGCTAAACCTACTAATGTGTTACGTTGTGACATTGTAGCTTAACCCAACTACTGATATGTTACATTGTGACATTGAAGCTAAACCCAACTACTGATGTGTTATATTGTGACATTGTAGCTGAACCCAACTACTGATATGTTACATTGAAGCTAAACCCAACTACTGACATTGTAGATAAACCCAACTAGTGATATGTTACATTGTAGCTAAACCCAACTACTGACATTGTAGATAAACCCAACTAGTGATATGTTACATTGTAGCTAAACCCAACTACTGACATTGTAGATAAACCCAACTAGTGATATGTTACATTGTAGCTAAACCCAACTACTGACATTGTAGATAAACCCAACTAGTGATATGTTACATTGTAGCTAAACCCAACTACTGACATTGTAGATAAACCCAACTAGTGATATGTTACATTGTAGCTAAACCCAACTACTGACATTGTAGATAAACCCAACTAGTGATATGTTACATTGTAGCTAAACCCAACTACTGACATTGTAGATAAACCCAACTAGTGATATGTTACATTGTAGCTAAACCCAACTACTGACATTGTAGATAAACCCAACTAGTGATATGTTACATTGTAGCTAAACCCAACTACTGACATTGTAGATAAACCCAACTAGTGATATGTTACATTGTAGCTAAACCCAACTACTGACATTGTAGATAAACCCAACTAGTGATATGTTACATTGTAGCTAAACCCAACTACTGACATTGTAGATAAACCCAACTAGTGATATGTTACATTGTAGCTAAACCCAACTACTGACATTGTAGATAAACCCAACTAGTGATATGTTACATTGTAGCTAAACCCAACTACTGACATTGTAGATAAACCCAACTAGTGATATGTTACATTGTAGCTAAACCCAACTACTGACATTGTAGATAAACCCAACTAGTGATATGTTACATTGTAGCTAAACCCAACTACTGACATTGTAGATAAACCAAACTAGTGATATGTTACATTGTAGCTAAATACTGATGTGTTATATTGTTATTATAGGCAGATCTACAGTGTATGACAGATGGATGTGATGCCTCTTTTCCTGTCAGTAAGTATACATCAGTACTAGTGAACACTGCTTTGTAGCTTGTATTCTCATTGACATCGTAATGAGAGATTTTGTGTTGATTTTTATGCTAAGAGCATTTTCAATGCTTTTCAGCATGTTGCTATCGCCCCTGAGGCTGAGTATCAGTACTTCGTTTTCATTGGTTCATAAATCGAAAGTTTACTCCTACTCCATCTGCCGGACATTACCGTAATCATTGGATTATCGCCCCTACAAGTTGCTGATGCTAGTCATTAAATGAAACAACCTTATCGACATTTTCTTCATTACCTGTACATCAAGAAAATGTTTTGTGTTGTGCATTAATGATAATCAGACATCGAAATTTGTAAATACAATGACAAAGACTCAGGTTTATGGTGGTAAATTTTGCGAGGCGATGCCAATATGGCGGCTTAACTTTCTTTTCCGCGCGATGCATTGTGGGAGTCATATACATTTGTATATCTTTCTATTTTTCTTTTTTCGAAAATTTACTTCCCGTTTAATACTGTTGATAACTATTAAAAATACTGATATATGTAGTTGAAAATAAAAATGAAACTAAAATAAGAATGATTTAGAATAGCATAAAATTTTGACGGAAACAGCCGGGGTGCTCTGTGCTGCTGGACCCTGAAAGAAGACGGCGGCTGAAAGAAGATGGCAGGTAATTCATGTAGGTAAGTATCACTATATATATATATGTTAGCTGAATTTGAAGTCAATACTTATACTGAACTATCAATTGCATTTTTTGCAACAATTCATTTGGAATGAGCCTTCGCGTCTATTGAATTTAGGCTTGACGGCGATGCGCAAGCTGGGCACTGCCGCCATAGCACTTTTTTTCCAAAATATTTTCAAGACTTTTCCCTTGAAGCAGTATGCATTTGAAAAATGTTATGTAAGCATCTAGCACATTTTTGTTGCTTCCGTAAAGTATTTCAGTATTTTGAAATGGATTTATTTTGGAATGATCGTTTCATAATGGTCTCATCGCAGTCACTTCTGTCAGTGGCCCAACAGATCGGAAATTAACCAGAAAAAAAACTTATCCGTAATATTGTACTGTACTACTTACGCTACCGTGAATAGATCTTGGAATCTGTCTGGGTAATATATCGATTTTACTTTAAAATATCTGTCACTGTCCGCGCTATTGTAGGTCTAGCTCTTTCAAATTTCTGATCGGAGATAATTTATAAGTACCCCAACGGCCAAAGGCCAGAGTATGAAATCGTACGGGAACTCTACAGCTATGCTAATTTTAAGGTTTACATGTGAAGTTAATATATATAGTTTTAGCTTAATTTTAGTTTTTGTCTTTCTGACATGATGTCTCGTTGATTCTGTTGAAGAGTGATGCATGTGAATGATTACAATATGAAGATTAGGAATAATGAAATGTCAATTAACATCTGATTCCCGGAAAGTATTTTAATAAAGATTAGGATAAACCTAGCAAAGTGTTAGGTCCCAGTGTGAATGTGTAAAGTTCCAGTGTGAATGTGTAAAGTCCCAGTGTGAATGTGTAAAGTATTATTGGTACAATTGAACTTTTTGATATATGTACTGTATTTGTTCATCTCAGAAATTTTAGTATTATGTCAACTGCGTCCACTTTCAGTTCAACACTTTTGATTCATCAATTTTACCCAGCCCTAGGCTCAATATTTGTCATTAATTGTCGACTGTTTTTTAGAGTTTTGTTTTCATGGTGAATGGAATGAAATGAGATAAATAGTCTAACCAATACCCCTCGAGAGCTAATTAAGACATTGCAGTATTATCATTTTGGGCCTTATTAAAAGTCAAATTGCAACTTTTAAGAAACTCAAGTGACTGTAAGTACAACAATAAGATGTCAATAATCAATGAAATTGAGTAATTGAGAAGACATTTTCTTAGTACAGTTAACCAGGCTTTGTAGTGGTTTGTTCAGAACTGTAGTTCTGGTTAAGTAACCATTAATTGTGTCCTTTCAGTTACAATGACATACATTTTTGAAATACCTCTACTGTAGCTAAATATGGCATTTGTAATAGACAGCCAACATTAATTTTGTGATAGACATAGCCAAATTTAATTTTAGGATCAGTTAGGACAGCTACTGTTTGTAACAGGCATGGGTTCAATTACATGATGATGTAATTAATGAAATTACAATTACATTATGAAAATGGCATTGCCATTGCATGACGGTCCAATGTAATTAATTAAATTACACATTACCTTTCAAGTCATAATGATTTTTGAAATACAAACGTCAAAATAAATTATCATACTGCACAGATTTATCTTATGAATTTAACTTTATGATTCAATCTCTGTATGACCATGGTCAAGATATTCTTATTTTCTAGCTGTCCATCACTTCATAATTTGACAGTCCTGAATGTCAAAACAATTAATTATATTTAATATAGACTCCTATTGGGAAGTTCAAGACTATAAGCTTATACAGAAGTGTATATTTCTTGCACATAATCATAGCAATAAAGAAATATAGTTATTTATTTGCTTTACTCTCTTTCAGCAGGTGGATGTCCCTGAAGAAATGAAATCTGGAATGGTAGAAGGTATCTCTTGATTATTCTAACTTGGAATTGGCCATTGTGACCAACAATTGATTTGAGGACCTTATGGTGGAGAAAAACGTCCTTCTTTCCGACCTCCAATTAGGTGTTGAAGATGGTTAATCACTTGAGGATATGCTAACAACCATGTTGCCTTTTAAGGTTACAGTACTCTCTAAAGGCGGCAATATAATTACCATCACAAAAGAAGAATCAACAAATGGCAGAAACTAAAAAAATGTGTGGAAAAGATCATTGTATGCTGCATTTGTAGTAAATTTCTTTACAATCTTCAATTTACTTAAGTAGAAAGATTCACTAGTTATACCAAGTTTATGTAGAAAGGCTCACTGTATACTGAGTTTGTAGTGTACATAGAAAGGTTTACTTATTTTTTTTTTCTGAGTTATGTATATACAATATATAAAAAAACTTTTTGTAGAAAAGATCGCTGTATACTGAGTTTATAGTTTACAATTGTCTAGAAAAATCACTGTATACTGAACATAATACAACTTCTGTTTAAAACCTTCATTTAAACTTAGACATGAATTTTTTTTTATTTATCTTAAAAGTCTACCTACAACAATTTTGTGTATGCAATCTTGTACTAGGATATTGACATGACAAGATTACATTGCTGATCAAAGCATGGAAAGTATACTGAATAAAGAAAACAAGATATAAGCATCTTTATCATGTTTTTATTTTTATTATTATCATTATTATTTTTCCATGATGTCTGTCCACATGGAATTTGTAAGCACTCTTGTGCATTCTTATACCACCAAAAGGGTGGGTAAATCGAATCAAGTTGTCTCTGTCCATCCATCTGTTTGTCTGTCTGTAGACACATCTTGTCTAGACAACTTCCATGAAACTACAGTAATATTCGGGACAATGTGTAGATGTGCATGCACCATTTTCCCCTGGAAATATTGATTGCCATGGCATCTGGTCAATATAGACAGGTTTTGCATGTCGGTCAACTTCTAAACCTGTTGACCAATTTCAACAAAACTACGCAGGAATATTAGGGAACATGTGCACATGCCGCTGTGTTTCAGAGGATGTTTTTTTGCAAAAGGTCACCATGGGGAGATAACTAAGGCTGTGGGTGATGGGGGTATTAGTTATCATTTGGATTACAGTTTCAGTTATCCCTGGGCAATGTGGAGAGGATATAGTAATGATTTTGAGGATTGAATGTAGAGGTCACAGTACTTGCATAAGTACTATATGATTACCTTGTAAACGCATTGAGACCAAGACAGTTAGTATACCTTAATCAAATTTGGAACATGTATCCCTTGTGAGGAGAAGTCGGTTTCTTTAGAAATTCAGGGTCAGATATCAAAGATCAAGGTCACAGTCAAAAAACGGATAGTTGCATGGGGGTGTTTTTCCATTGTATTACCCTCATTTTTCTATCAAATTTCACAACCTAAAAGATATTCACATCTTGTAAATTTCAAGGTTCAAGGTCACTGTAAGGATGTTAAAAAAATGATAATACAAGAGGAATAAAATATCTTGTGACAAGTTTTAGAGAACAAAGAATATATAAACATGAAAAATTGGAACAATATCTACTTGAAGATTCCCAGAAAAAGTACAAGGAGAATAAGACCAGGTTTTCTGGAAGAATAGGCATCTTCTATTTTAAGTTATGGTGACAAGTCATGTTTGTTTTAGAAAATTGGCACTCTTATGCAGTCATTTACAAACAATCTGGAAAATGAAGCTGTCCAATATTTGTATGTAGCATGTTATTTGCATGATGGTCTAACTAATGGTCTTAAACCAATAGGATACACAGTCTTTAAAGTGATTAATATGGTGTCCATGATCAACATTCCCTACAATGTATCCAAAGAAATGGACAACTTGATTTACTGATTGCATATAGTTGGTTTCAGTATATAGCAAGCTAATAACAAAGAATTTATTTTTTAATGGTCTTAGCATACCAGTACTTTCAGTACTTTGATTAAATGTATTTTCAGTTTAGCATGTGACATGATTAACTTTTCACCTGGTTGGAATTGTTTCATGCAAGAATGGTGTATTAGTTACAAAATGATTGTTGCTTATTTAATCAGTTTATATTGAATATTAAAACACAAGGCAATCAACTCTTTAATGGAGAGAATAAAGGGGACAATGATATAAAATTCTGAAAGTTCTCAAAACTTTCCAAACACTGTTCATGTCAAAAATAAGTCAGATATCAGAAAGACAAATTTCCTTTCAGTGTAATAGTTTAATCATAACTGACCTAGATTTGTTAATAAATGATGGATCCTAAGGTAAATGTTCACCACAGATTTGTTAATAAATGATGGATCCAAGGACAGATGTTCACCACAAATTTGTTGGTTGATGACAGATCCTAAGACAGATGTTCACTACAGATTTGTTGGTTGATGACAGATTCTAAGACAAATGTTCACCACAGATTTGTTGGTTGATGACAGATCCTAAGACAGATGTTCACCACAGATTTGTTGGTTGATGACAGATCCTAAGAAGAATGTTCACTACAGATTTGTTGGTTGATGACAGATTCTAAGACAGATGTTCACTACAGATTTGTTGGTTGATGACAGATCCTAAGACAAATGTTCACCACAGATTTGTTGGTTGATGACAGATCTTAAGACAAAAGTTCACCACAGATTTGTTGGTTGATGACAGATCCTAAGAAGAATGTTCACCACAGATTTGTTGGTTGATGACAGATCCTAAGACAAATGTTCACCACAGATTTGTTGGTTGATGACAGATCCTAAGACAAATGTTCACCACAGATTTGTTGGTTGATGACAGATCCTAAGACAGATGTTCACTACAGATTTGTTGGTTGATGACAGATCCTAAGACAGATGTTCACCACAGATTTGTTGGTTGATGACAGATCCTAAGACAGATGTTCACCACAGATTTGTTGGTTGATGACAGATCCTAAGACAGATGTTCACCACAGATTTGTTGGTTGATGACAGATCTTAAGACAGATGTTCACCACAGATTTGTTGGTTGATGACAGATCCTAAGACAGATGTTCACCACAGATTTGTTGGTTGATGACAGATTCTAAGACAAATGTTCACCACAGATTTGTTGGTTGATGACAGATCCTAAGTTAAATGTTCACCACACATATGTTCTGTTGTTACAGCACAGTTAAGTAAGGCTTTGCCCAGTAATATTTTAAGCAAGTATGAAGACCGTGTCCAGGAGGAGAATCTTAACTTGGCTGACCTTCCTGACCTCGTCAGGTATGTGTTTAATTTAACTTACCTGTTCAGGTATGTGTTTAATTTAACTTACCTGTTCAGGTGTGTTTAATTTGACTTACCGGTTCAGGTACATGTTTAATTTGACTTACCTGTTCAGGTATGTGTTTAATTTGACTTACTTATCATTCCAGATGTCCATACTGTGACTTCGCAGCCATGTTAGATCCAGGCTACCCAGTGTTTCAGTGTGCCAATCCTACTTGTGAGAAGGTCAGTATAGTAATGTATAGCAGGTTAGGTAAGTTTATGTTTTAAATTGGACAACAAGTTTGAGCAACCTTAATCCCAGGAATGCCAATCATTAACCTTATGGACAGTACAAGTGAACCTAGGTGTGTAGCAGGAACTTGGTAAAACCAACTGAAATCACCAACCAAAAATCATGCAACCTCAAAGAGAAAATTGAAAAAGATTTGTATGATAAGTGGTTTGAGGTGAACAGTAATAACCTGTTATGAATGCTGCAGATAACAACAAATATGAAAAGGGTACATATATTGTACAGATATATATGTTAATTTGTCAAGCTTTGTAAGTGTTGTGTTGATGTGTTGGTAGGAAACATGTCGCCATTGTCAGGAGCCCTGGGCAGATCACATAGGAAAGACTTGTGATCAGGTGGAGAAGAAGGATGAGGTGAAACTGCGTGTTCAGTTGTAAGTGGCTGTAGTATTAAACTCAGTTTTTATTGCTAGAGGTGTAATCTGATATCTACAAAACCATGACGATTTACGTATTAGTGTTAGTGGTGTCACTTGTGTCGATATATACAAAACCATGACGATTTACGTATTAGTGTTAGTGGTGTCACTTGTGTCGATATATACAAAACCATGACGATTTACGTATTAGTGTTAGTGGTGTCACTTGTGTCGATATCTACAAAACCATGACGATTTACGTATTAGTGTTAGTGGTGTCACTTGTGTTGATATCTACAAAACCATGACGATTTACGTATTAGTGTTAGTGGTGTCACTTGTGTTGATATATATTAAACCATGACGATTTACGTGTTAGAGCTAGTGGTGTCACTTGTGTTGATATATACAAAACCATGATGATTTACATGTTAGAGCTAGTGGTGTCGCTTGTGTTGATATAATGATAGCAATGTTGTAAACATATCATTGACACAATGTGCTTTATTATCTAATGATGAAATATTGATTATACCCCCATAAATAGAAGTGGGGGTTGGGGGAGCTGATTCAATTGAAACTAAATATCAATCTATAGGACCATAAAAATTTGCATGCATCATATTTTCCAGAAAGTTTGGTTGCCATTGTAATTAAGTCATTGCATCTGTGAGAGGTATAAGTTACATCATGTACCTTTTTAGTTTTAAGTTACATCATGTACCTTTTTAGTTTTAAGTTACATCATGTAACTTTTTAGTTATAAATCACAACATGTAACTTTTTAGTTATAAATCACATCATGTACCTTTTAAGTTATGAGTTACAACATGTAATGTTTTAGTTATAAGTTACATCATGTAACTTAATTGTATTAAGTTGCATGTGACTTTTTTGTTTTAAGTTACATCATGAAACATTTTAGTTATAAGTTACAACATGTGACTTTTTAGTTAAAATTACATCATGTAACGTCTTAGTTATAAATCACATCATGTAACTTTTAGTTATAAGTACAACATGTAACGTTTTAGTTACAAGTTACATCATGTAACTTTTTAGTTATAAGTTACATCATATAACTAGTGTAACTAAGGCTGATTTTTATAACTAGTGTAACTAAGGCTGATTTTATAACTAGTGTAACTAAGGCTGAGTTTTATAACTAGTGTAACTAAGGCTGAGTTTTATAACTAGTGTAACTAAGGCTGAGTTTTATAACTAGTGTAACTAAGGCTGATTTTTATAACTTGTGTAACTAAGGCTGATTTTATAACTAGTGTAACTAAGGCTGATTATATAACTAGTGTAACTAAGGCTGAGTTTTATAACTAGTGTAACTAAGGCTGATTTTATAACTAGTGTAACTAAGGCTGATTCAATAACAAGTGTAACTAAGGCAAGTGTAACTAAGGCTGATTTTATAACTAGTGTAACTAAGGCTGATTTTATAACTAGTGTAACTAAGGCTGATTATATAACTAGTGTAACTAAGGCTGATTTTATGACTAGTGTAACTAAGGCTGATTTTATAACTAGTGTAACTAAGGCTGAGTTTTATAACTAGTGTAACTAAGGCTGAGTTTTATAACTAGTGTAACTAAGGCTGATTTTATAACTAGTGTAACTAAGGCTGATTTTATAACTAGTGTAACTAAGGCTGATTTTATAACTAGTGTAACTAAGGCTGATTCAATAACAAGTGTAACTAAGGCCGAGTTTTATAACTAGTGTAACTAAGGCTGATTATATAACTAGTGTAACTAAGGCTGATTATATAACTAGTGTTGACAACATGACTTTTGCTGCTGATGTGACTTCTGTTTATGATGTAACTGCTCTGACGATATAATTAATGTTGATTAAACACAAAAATTTAAGGTTATGAAAATAATTATAACGTTGATATAATTTAATGTCCACAGTGAGGAAAAGATGACCATGGCAAAAATAAGAACCTGTATCAAATGTAAAACCAAATTCACCAAGTCTGAAGGTTGTAACAAGATGACATGTCGCTGTGGTTCTAAGATGTGCTACATTTGCCGAAAGCCTAATGTAAGTACAATTAGTAAAATAACATATCAAAGCTGATGTTTAATCATGTGGCCTGATGTTATTTAGCTACATTTAAACTCTACCCTTAACTTTAGTAGGGAATGAGCTTGGAGATAAGGGAGGTGAGGTGGGGGTGCAAACTTTAGAGAAGGGAAACAAAATGGTGTTGAAGCTACATATGGAAATGTTTTTGCAACAAGAAAGTAATGATGAGGTGTTCTTTGACCTTGAACAGTCACCTTGACATTGATTTTCAAGAGATTCAAATGATGGTATATGACACACAAGCCTTTTTATTGAACAGCAACACAGACAGACCTTTTTATTGAACAGCAACACAGACAGACCTTTTTATTGGACAGCAACACAGACAGACCTTTTTATTGGACAGCAACACAGACAGACCTTTCTTTAGACAACAGTACAGACAAGACTTTTTTATTGGACAGCTGAACAGAGAAGCCATTTTATTGGACAGCAACACAAACAGACCTTTTTTTAGACAGCAGTACAGACAAGCCTTTTTATTGGACAGCTGAACAGAAGCCATTTTATTGGACAGCAGTACAGACAAGCCTTTTTATTGGACAGATACACAGACATACCTTTTTACTGGACAGCAACACAGACAAGCCTTTTTTATTGACAGCAGTACAGACAGACTTTTTTTTGGATAGCAGTTCAGACGAGCCTTTTTATTGGACAGCAACACAGACAAGCCTTTTTATTGGACAGCAACACAGACAGACGTGTTTTTGGAAGCAGTACAGACAAGCCTTTTTATTGAACAGCAATACAGACAGACCGTTTTTGGACAGCAACACAGACAAGCCTTTTTATTGGACAGCAACACAGACAAGCCTTTTTATTGGACAGCTGAACAGAGAGGGCATTTTATTGGACAGCAACACAGACAGACCTTTTTATTGGACATTAAAAAACATTACAAAATATTCATTTTACCCGAACTACAGTGGAAACCCTGGACAGACACGAGTAACACTTCATGTATACAACATCTAATACAGTGGCAACAATTTATGCAATATGTCACACTTTTACAGATTGACTACAACCACTTCTGTCAGCATGTTAGAGAACCAGGCAAAGGCTGTGACAAGTGTACTGCATGTTTCCTGTGGAGTACAGGGGAGGTAAGTCTGGCAATTGTACTGTTTCCTGTGGAGTACAGGGGAGGTAAGGCTGACAATTGTACTGTTTCCTGTGGAGTACAGGGAAGGTAAGACTGACAATTGTACTGTTTATTTTGGAGTACAGGGGAGGTAAGGCTGACAATTGTACTGTTTCCTGTGGAGTACAGGGGAGGTAAGGCTGACAATTGTACTGTTTCCTGTGGAGTACAGGGGAGGTAAGGCTGACAATTGCACTGTTTACTTTGGAGTACAGGGGAGGTAAGGCTGACAATTGTACTGTTTACTTCGGAGAATAAGAGATGTTTTCAAGTGACATGTGTTCTGTTTCCTGTGCTGATATAATTCATCACAAAACATTACAGTTTCCTTTATTGTGGATGTAATAAGGCCTTGTATATGTGACAAATTATGTAGTAATATTTTTGTGTCTTTCTAAAGGAGGATGACAAAAGGGCAATAGAGGAAATAAGGAAGGAGGCAGAGGAGGCCAGAAAAGCACAAGGTAACATAATACATTATATCATTAGGTTGTCCAATACCTGTGGATAGATCAGACGACTTCTTGTGATCCCCTTTTGTACCGTTGTCTGGCATTCATCATGCATCGATTGACTGTTATATTTTCAACTTCTTGAAAATCCCGGACCAATTTCAATGAAACTTTTCATGGCCAAAGGTGAACAAAAACTAAATGATATGGTCCCCACCTTTCAGTGGGCCAAAATAGGATGAAATTGACTGAAATTCCAAAAATTGGAAATTGTAAATAATTCTTAGTTTGGTAAAATCATTAGTATAGGATGATGGTTTGATGGTATGCACATATTGATCCTGATTGTCTCCCAGGTGTTGATCGGCATGGCCAAAAGGGGTCATATTCACTCAAATTAGAAAAATTTTCAATATCTAGATATGATAGAATCTATTGCCCAAGGATAGGAGAATTCATATAGGAAAATAACATCGCTGAGTGTAATCTCTTTTAATGCATTTGTGAGTGGAAGCCTTAGCATGAGATAGCAGTTAATTTTTTACACATTAAAATTTGCACTATATCTACAAAGTTGTTCAAGATATCTTAGTGTGTTCAGATGATTTCTATGACATGTTACAAAAGGAGTGATAGCATTTTAAATCAGGTGACCATTGAGGCCCTTTATGCCTCTTGTTTATTTTCTTGTTGATAAGAAGAATGGTACAGGTGTCAGGATATGTGTTATTTCTTCATTGCATGATGAAGCTATAAGGTAAACCTCAATCATTTCTACTCCTTTTTTATAACTGATCTCAACATTAGATGATAAAAAGTTTGTGTTGATGGACAGTTTAAGTGTAAAGGTCATAGCATATGATATATATTAATGGAGTACTGGTGTTAAGTCTCATCCTGTATCCATAGGTTAATTGATAAGTTGTTAATAATGCTTTATAAAATCTGCAGTCACTTACTACAACAGTGTAGGTCACACTGGTCAAATACTGGGGATAACAAACAATAACGGTCACTTACTACAACAGTGTAGGTCACACTGGTCAAATACTGGGGATAACAAACAATAACGGTCACTTACTACAACAGTGTAGGTCACACTGGTCAAATGCTAGGGATAACAATAACGGTCACTTACTACAACAATGTAGGTCACACTGGTCAAACGCTAGGGATAACAATAACGGTCACTTACTACAACAGTGTAGGTCACACTGGTCAAATACTAGAGATAACAAACAAAAACAGTCACTTATTACAACAGTGTAGGTCACACTGGTCAAACGCTAGGGATAACTAACAGTCACTTACTACAACAGTGTAGGTCACACTGGTCAAATACTGGGGATAACAATAACGGTCACTTACTACAACAGTGTAGGTCACACTGGTCAAATACTGGGAATAACAATAACACTCACTTACTACAACAGTGTAGGTCACACTGGTCAAATACTAGGGATAACAATAACGGTCACTTACTTCAACAGTGTAGGTCACACTGGTCAAATACTGGGGATAACAATAATGGTCAATTACTACAACAGTGTAGGTCACACTGGTCAAATAATGGGGATAACAAACAAAAACAGTCACTTACTACAACAGTGTAGGTCACACTGGTCAAATACTGGAGATAACAAACAAAAACAGTCACTTACTACAACAGTGTAGGTCACACTGGTCAAATACTGGGGATAACAATAATGGTCACTTACTACAACAGTGTTGGTCACACTGGTCAAATACTGGGATAAGAAACAAAAACAGTCACTTACTACAACAGTGTAGGTCACACTGGTCAAATACTGGGGATAACAAACAAAAACAGTCACTTACTACAACAGTGTAGGTCACACTGGTCAAATACTAGGGATAACAATAACAGTCACTTACTACAACAGTGTAGGTCACACTGGTCAAATACTGGGAATAACAAACAAAAACAGTCACTTACTACAACAGTGTAGGTCACACTGGTCAAATACATTTGGTATTATTTAATGGAATACATGTATATTATAATAGTATAAGATATTGATTTGTGAACTGAACGCCATATGGCATGGTCAGTTCATATATGCTCAGGTGTGTCACAGTTATGGCCAGTTTGTGTTTGGTCAGGATGTCACAGCCATGGTCAGTTTATGTGTTGTCAAGATGTCATAGTCATGGTCAGTTTTTGTGTGGTCAAGATGTCACAGTCATGGTCAGTTTGTTTGGTCAAGATGTCACAACCATGGTCAGTTTGTGTGTGGTCAAGATGTCACGACCATGGTCAGTTTGTGTGTGGCCAAGATGTCACGACCATGGTCAGTTTGTGTGTGGCCAAGATGTCACGACCATGGTCAGTTTGTGTGTGGCCAAGATGTCACGACCATGGTCAGTTTGTGTGGCCAAGATGTCACGACCATGATCTGGGTGTAACAGTAATGTACAATTGGTGGTGATTGATTGTGTGATTTCCAATTTTTCATTGATATATCATCTGTATAGAGGTAAACTATCAGTTTTTACTTACAGGTTTTGGTGACAGCAAATTGATAGGAGCTCCTGACGAACCACCCACAAAGAAAGTCCGAGTATGATTAACACAGAATGATAAACACAATCAACAAAGAAAGTCCGAGTATGATTAACACAGAATGATAAACACAATCAACAAAGAAAGTCCGAGTATGATTAACACAGAAAGTCCGAGTATGATTAACACAGAATGATAAACACAATCAACACAGAAAGTCTGAGTATGATTAACACAGAATGATAAACACAATCAACAAAGAAAGTCCGAGTATGATTAACACAGAATGATAAACACAATCAACAAAGAAAGTCCGAGTATGATTAACACAGAATGATAAACACAGTCAACAAAGTCCGAGTATGATTAACACAGAATGATAAACACAGTCAACAAAGAAAGTCCGAGTATGATTAACACAGAACGATAAACACAATCAACAAAGAAAGTCCGAGTATGATTAACACAGAATGATAAACACAATCAACAAAGAAAGTCCGAGTATGATTAACACAGAATGATAAACACAATCAACAAAGAAAGTCTGAGTATGATTAACACAGAATGATAAACACAATCAACAAAGAAAGTCCGAGTATGATTAACACAGAAAGTCCGAGTATGATTAACACAGAAAGTCTGAGTATGATTAACACAGAATGATAAACACAATCAACAAAGAAAGTCCGAGTATGATTAACACAGAACGATAAACACAATCAACAAAGTCCGAGTATGATTAACACAGAATGATAAACACAATCAACAAAGTCCGAGTATGATTAACACAGAATGATAAACACAATCAACAAAGAAAGTCCGAGTATGATTAACACAGAATGATAAACACAATCAACAAAGAAAGTCCGAGTATGATTAACACAGAATGATAAACACAGTCAACAAAGTCCGAGTATGATTAACACAGAATGATAAACACAGTCAACAAAGAAAGTCCGAGTATGATTAACACAGAACGATAAACACAATCAACAAAGAAAGTCCGAGTATGATTAACACAGAAAGTCCGAGTATGATTAACACAGAATGATAAACGCAAACAGTACAAATTTGGCCAACATCAAACAATTAGAATGTTGTCAAGAAAGTGTGGCCATCTTCAAACATTGGAAGTGTGGCCATAAAGTGTGGCTGACATCAAACATTAGAAGTGTGGCCGTCATCAAACATTGGAAGTGTGGCCATAAAGTGTGGCTGACATCAAACATTAGAAGTGTGGCCGTCATCAAACATGGGAAGTGTGGCCATAAAGTGTGGCCAACATCAAACATTGGAAGTGTGGCCATAAAGTGTGGCCAACATCAAACATTGGAAGTGTGGCCATTATCAAACATTTGAAGTTCAAATGTGACCATAAAGTCTAGTTAACATCAAACTGCTCAAATGTAGCCAACATGAAACAGTTTAAGCTTGTGTAATGAACGAGCACAGTTCCTGTTTAACGACAAACAATTCATGTACTTGTGATGTACAACAAATATTGATTAAATGTTTTCTATTGTGATGCACAAAATGCAATGGAATGACAGAATCTTTGGTGATGAATGACAAAGTGTTCACAGTGGTAGACCCTGTTACAGTGATAGACCTTGTCAAAGTGGTAGACCCTGTGAGGTACTGACTACCAGAGAGATTTGTGTGTGTTGTAGTACCTGGTCCAGTTTGTTATTGTGTTGTTGAGACACTGCCTTTATAATCTAGTCAAATTACAGTTTTATTATGAAATGAACTTATTTAAACCACATGTCCATGATACTCTGTTCTTGTAGGATGCTTGATTGTAAATCATCATTAGATTTGATGTTTATGAAAACAGATCAGGTACTTTAACATGATTTAGTTGAATTTCAGCTCTGTATGTAAACAAGTGTTTACTTTTCAATGCAATAGATTCAGGCGAAAACACAAGTAAACTCCTTTTACTATGCAAGAATCTCTTGTAGCAGATAGTTCCAGGCAAATCTATCAGATTCTTGATGGAAGGTTGTAGTACAAGAATTGAGTAATGTAGTCCAGTATGTACCTTGGTACATGTCCACAATGTCTGACAGTGTGATGTAGTCCGGTATGTACCTCGGTACATGTCCACAATGTCTGACAGTGTGATGTAGCCCGGTATGTACCTCGGTACATGTCCATAATGTCTGACAGTGTGTAGTCCGGTATGTACCTCGGTACACGACCACAATGTCCCACAGTGTGATGTAGTCCGGTATGTACCTCGGTACATGTCCACAATGTCTGACAGTGTGATGTAGCCCGGTATGTACCTCGGTACATGTCCATAATGTCTGACAGTGTGTAGTCCGGTATGTACCTCGGTACACATCCACAATGTCTGACAGTGTGATGTTGTCCAGTATGTACCTTGGTACACAATGTCTGACAGTGTGATGTCCAGTATGTACCTCGGTACATGTCCACAATGTCTGACAGTGTGATGAAGTCTGGTATGTACCTTGGTACACAATGTCTGACAGTGTGATGAAGTCCGGTATGTACCTCGGTACACGTCCACAATGTCTGACAGTGTGATGTAGTCCAGTATGTACCTTGGTACACAATGTCTGACAGTGTGATGAAGTCCGGTATGTACCTGGGTACACGTCCACAATGTCTGACAGTGTGATGTAGTCCAGTTTGTACCTTGGTACACAATGTCTGACAGTGTGATGTAGTCCGGTATGTACCTTGGTACACAATGTCTGACAGTGTGATGTAGTCCAGTATGTACCTTGGTACACAATGTCTGACAGTGTGATGTAGTCCGGTATGTACCTCGGTACACGTCCACAATGTCCGACAGTGTGATGTAGTCCGGTATGTACCTCTGTACACATCCACAATGTCCCACAGTGTGATGTAGTCCAGTATGTACCTTGGTACACAATGTCTGACAGTGTGATGTAGTCCAGTATGTACCTTGGTACACGTCCACAATGTCTGACAGTGTGATGTAGTCCGGTATGTACCTCGGTACACGTCCACAATGTCTGACAGTGTGATGTAGTCCGGTATGTACCTTGGTACACAATGTCTGACAGTGTGATGTAGTCCAGTATGTACCTTGGTACACAATGTCTGACAGTGTGATGTTGTCCAGTATGTACCTCGGTACATGTCCACAATGTCTGACGGTGTGATGTAGCCGAGTATGTACCTCGGTACACGTCCACAATGTCTGACAGTGTGATGTAGTCCAGTATGTACCTCGGTACACGTCCACAATGTCCGACAGTGTGATGTAGTCCAGTATGTACCTCAGTACACGTCCACAATGTCCGACAGTGTGATGTAGTCCAGTATGTACAGGCCTCATGCAACATATGCACTAGATATGAAGCTTTTTTTAATCTTGATTACTCTTTGTTTAAATCTGTTTTGTTTTATTTATGCATGTTGTTTTGATGTGTAGAAATTCAATTGATTGTATATTCTACAGCAGATGTTCTGAGATCAAACAGAAATAACTAAATCTGTTTTAAGTGTATGTGCACTGCCTCTTGTAACATAGAAGATAGTTCCAGGGTCTTTGATTCTACATGTGGATTTGCTGTTGGGTGTCTCCATTGTATAAATTATTCCAGGGTCTGTATACAAACTGACAATGTACACGTGGAGTTACAGGCAGGTGTCACATGATCACAGATAATTCCAGGGTCTGTATACAAACTGACAATGTACATGTGGAGTTACAGGCAGGTGTCACGTGTTTGTAGATAATTTCAGGTTCTCTATGAGTGTATATGTAGAGTTCCTGTTACAGGCAGGTGTTACATGATCCCAGATAATTCCAGGTTCTCTATGAGTGTACATGTGGAGTTGTGGCTATAATTGATTGTACATTGTGACACATTTTATAGCTATCATCTCTTAGTGTCTACTATCTATGATAGATGGTATTTGTTTTTGTTTTTACTCGAGTTCTGTTTTAATAAACATAAATATATTGTTTTATCCATTTTAGGCATTATTTCTTTCCACGCTAACTATGCTTTGACTTCTGTTGAGAGAAATCCATTTGAATTCATTTATGATGAAGTTTGTTCACACATATCTGTGGCCAATAGATCATGAGTGATGGATATCTGTGACCAATAGATCATGAGTGATGGATATCTGTGACCAATAGATCATGAGTGATGGATATCTGTGACCAATAGATCATGAGTGATGGATATCTGTGACCAATAGATCATGAGTGATGGATATCTGTGACCAATAGATCATGAGTGATGGATATCTGTGACCAATAGATCATGAGTGATGGATATCTGTGACCAATAGATCATGAGTGATGGATATCTGTGACCAATAGATCATGAGTGATGGATATCTGTGACCAATAGATCATGAGTGATGGATATCTGTGACCAATAGATCATGAGTGATGGTTAGAAATAAGGTCCTGGTCTAAATATACATGACCAGATTTGTCAGCAAGCAGTATATTATATATCTTACCTTTCAGTAATTTATTATACATTTTCTAGCAAATTTTGACCGGTTTTGTTACAGACACCTGACAGTTCTAGCTATCACAAATGACAATGAAACACTATGTTAAAAGGTTTAGCCCCTTTTAGATATTTTTAGGTTACTTAATTCTCATGGTGACCTATTGCAAACCCCTTCATCCGGTGTCATGAGTCCATAAACAATTTAACATTTTTGACTTCTCATAAACTCCTGATCCAGAATTTTGCAGAAACCTTGCCTGGCCTAAGACAAATCAAAATAGTGAATTATACAGTCGCCACCTCACAAGGGCCTGAGGGGCAGGGTCAAATTGACTTTTAAAAAAAAGAGTGTCCTTTTACCATATTGAGTTCCATGTTTTCTGTAACATTTTCAAAGACTACCTTTTTTTCGGTGATTTTTTCCTTATAAATTGTTTCTGGTTGACAAGAGGCCTAGCAGCCTTGACAGTCACCTGTGAGCTCCATGGAAATCTAAAGTATTAAAACCATTTATTGTTTATGTTCAGTACAAAGTTTCATTAAAAGGGATCAATATTGCATTATACTGTGCATATTAAAATCAGCTTATCATACCATTATATTCATTTTGAATGCTGAAAAATGATAGCTATCATAACTTCAGAAGATATCCTGCAGAAAAGCAATCATACCATCAGGTAAGAGCAGTCTTATGTAATTAGTCTCCATACATAGTAACACTATATATCAAGTCCCATCTAAATCTTAATATCACTTCAGAAGATATCCTTTGCAAAGCAATCAGCCATTCAGGTCACAGATGCTTCATTATATAAATAGAAATCTGCACAATTCCTCGTCACACTATTTCACAGTAGTGTTGTACCCACACAACTGTAGATTCTGACACAGTTTCACACTAAAACTCCGGAAAACCTACTGACGTATCTTAAGATATAATCCATCTTTATAAACATGTAATGTTGTCTGTCCTAGGGCCCGTTTGTTTAAAAAGCAAGCAAACCAGTTCATTGGCACTTTTTATATAATTTAGGGTATAAATCAGGACAAATTTGCAAATATTAATATGCTCCTTGAAAGGTTTTGTCAAGTTTCATCAGAAAGCAAAGTAAGATCAGTAGGTCAGTCCTTATTTCATAAACAATCCTGGTCAACCCAAAAAACCTTGGTATTTACCGATTCTGTATGTCACACAAACCAAAAAACCTTGGTATTTACCGATTCTGTATGTCACACAAACCAAAAAACCTTGGTATTTACCGATTCTGTATGTCATACAAACCAAAAAACCTTGGTATTTACCGATTCTGTATGTCATACAAACCAAAAAACCTTGGTATTTATCAATTCTGTATGTCATACAACCCAAAAAGCCTTGGTATTTATCGATTCTGTATGTCATACAACCCAAAAACCTTGGTATTTACCGATTCTGTATGTCATACAACCCAAAAAACCTTGGTATTTACCGATTCTGTATGTCATACAAACCAAAAAACCTTGGTATTTACCGATTCTGTATGTCATACTAACCAAAAACCTTGGTATTTACCGATTCTGTATGTCATACAACCCAAAAAACCTTGGTATTTACCGATTCTGTATGTCATACTAACCAAAAACCTTGGTATTTACCGATTCTGTATGTCATACAACCCAAAAAACCTTGGTATTTATCGATTCTGTATGTCATACAAACCAAAAACCTTGGTATTTATCGATTCTGTATGTCATACAAACCAAAAACCTTGGTATTTATCGATTCTGTATGTCATACAAACCAAAAACCTTGGTATTTACCGATTCTGTATGTCATACAACCCAAAAAACCTTGGTATTTACCGATTCTGTATGTCATACAACCCAAAAAACCTTGGTATTTACCGATTCTGTATGTCATACAAACCAAAAAACCTTGGTATTTACCGATTCTGTATGTCATACAAACCAAAAAACCTTGGTATTTACCGATTCTGTATGTCATACAAACCAAAAAACCTTGGTATTTACCGATTCTGTATGTCATACAACCCAAAAAACCTTGGTATTTACCGATTCTGTATGTCATACAACCCAAAAAACCTTGGTATTTACCGATTCTGTATGTCATACAACCCAAAAAACCTTGGTATTTATCGATTCTGTATGTCATACAAACCAAAAAACCTTGGCATTTATCGATTCTGTATGTCATACAAAACAAAAAACCTTGGCATTTATCGATTCTGTATGTCATACAACCCAAAAAACCTTGGTATTTATCGATTCTGTATGTCATACAACCCAAAAACCTTGGTATTTACCGATTCTGTATGTCATACAACCCAAAAAACCTTGGTATTTATCGATTCTGTATGTCATACAACCCAAAAAACCTTGGTATTTACCGATTCTGTATGTCATACAAACCAAAAAACCTTGGTATTTACCGATTCTGTATGTCATACTAACCAAAAACCTTGGTATTTACCGATTCTGTATGTCATACAACCCAAAAAACCTTGGTATTTACCGATTCTGTATGTCAACCCAAAAAACCTTGGTATTTACCGATTCTGTATGTCATACAAACCAAAAACCTTGGCATTTATCGATTCTGTATGTCATACTAACCAAAAACCTTGGTATTTATCGATTCTGTATGTCATACAACCCAAAAAACCTTGGTATTTATCGATTCTGTATGTCATACAAACCAAAAACCTTGGTATTTACCGATTCTGTATGTCATACAAACCAAAAACCTTGGTATTTACCGATTCTGTATGTCATACAAACCAAAAACCTTGGTATTTACCGATTCTGTATGTCATACAACCCAAAAAACCTTGGTATTTATCGATTCTGTATGTCATACAAACCAAAAACCTTGGTATTTACCGATTCTGTATGTCATACAAACCAAAAACCTTGGTATTTACCGATTCTGTATGTCATACAAACCAAAAACCTTGGTATTTACCGATTCTGTATGTCATACAACCCAAAAAACCTTGGTATTTATCGATTCTGTATGTCATACAACCCAAAAAACCTTGGTATTTACCGATTCTGTATGTCATACAACCCAAAAAACCTTGGTATTTACCGATTCTGTATGTCATACAACCCAAAAAACCTTGGTATTTACCGATTCTGTATGTCATACAAACCAAAAACCTTGGCATTTATCGATTCTGTATGTCATACAAACCAAAAACCTTGGTATTTACCGATTCTGTAAGTCATACAAACCAAAAACCTTGGTATTTACCGATTCTGTATGTCATACAACCCAAAAAACCTTGGTATTTATCGATTCTGTATGTCATACAACCCAAAAAACCTTGGTATTTATCGATTCTGTATGTCATACAAACCAAAAACCTTGGTATTTACCGATTCTGTATGTCATACAAAACAAAACCGTTGGTGTCAAGAATGTAGTGTAGTGAGTAGCTAAAGCTTTGATTTCATGTCAAGAATGGAGTGGAGCGAGTCTACATCTGTAACAGGCAAGGAGCAGGTATAATTTTCACACACATAAGCTGTAGCTTTGCCCTCTACCTGAGGCAAACTGTTAACAAATTGGCAACGCCTAGACAGGAAGCTATCTCCTTCAGTTGGTACCATCAGGATCACCTTGTTTGGGAGGAAGTGGGAGTTCACACATCTGACGAGGCTGGCCATGTCTTGAGAGGCGGGATCACCAACTAACACGATCTGTAAATATGTAGTTATACTCTGATAAACTTGTACAACCGAACATAAAATTCAACGCCAGTTTACCACATTTGTGTGATAAACTATTCATATTTGTTTTGAATTGGTTAAATATGGGCTGGAAGACATATTCCTTCCCTTTTCTATTATCAAAGATAGAAATATAGTTTCAACAGAAGAATGATTTAAGGCATTAAGTTATATCTTAAATATACATGTATGTATAACTAAAATTGTTGAAATCTTCCGGTACCTTGACACCAATAAAGTGGTGCCTCTTTCTGTGTTGCCTTGTTTACTTACAACTGTTTATTGTAACTTGACCTATGTAATTTACCTCCCTTACCTGTTTAGAAGTGCCAGAAGTCCAAAACAGGGCAGAGGTCATTTCAGGGAGAGCAATAGGGATCTTTGTGAGCCGTTGTTGAAACACTTTGCAGATTTGCGTGGCCATATCTCTGAAGTCTGTCCGCTGTAGGATGTTCGACAGACGTAGTAGGTTGCTGGCAGCTACTGAGTTAGAGCAAGGTTCAGCACCATCTTGATCTGAGAATTTAATTTTTATAACCTGCTGAATTTGAGTCACCAGTTATATAAGATATATCTTACAACTGAGTAACTAGCTCGTCACAAAAGTAGATTAACAAAGAGTGCGAGGGAACCTGTGTCATTCTCACAGATATTTCAACATTCATGGTAAATTATCACCTACAGTAAGATTTCCCAACTTAGGGATCTCTCAGTACTATGGTTCATAGCATCACTCTTTCATAACTCATTGGATTTCCTGGCTCTGAGTTTTGTATAGAATTGGATCAAAATCTGTCAGAGAGTGAAGTTGACTGATGATATGACCTGCTACATAAACAAACCTAAACCTATATTACTGATACAAATATGTACCATAATATTCAGTTAGACTTTCAAAATGTCCTGTTTTTCACTTTTTTCAATAATGGATTTAAATGGTGAAAAGTAAATAGCTCCGGAGGTTAAAAGAGTTCATTCATCTCTTTCATGCCACACAAATCTCTTGCTTTAAACTTTTAATAAAACTGCAAGAAATGAACCATTGAATAAATAACAGATGTGAATTTATCAGTAACAGGAAAGTAGTGTTTGACCAGCAATTTGTTATACTTGAAATAATTGGTGTACCTACCATCCTTAAGTCGTAGTACTATGGAAGTGTCTGCCTGACAGCTGTTGTAGAAGGCACCATCCTCATGGTCCCAAAACAATGTATTCTGTTTCTCTTGAAGGTCTTCTGCCCATTCCAACCACTTTGTATCAAAATTTGTCTCATACAGGTCCAGTAAGGCTTTTATCACAAGTGCATAATCGTCTGCAAATCCCTCAATGTCAATAGGTCTAAACATTAGGAAAGTCACATTTTACGGTTTATAATCAACATTTATCACAATTAAAGAAGTACATGTACTTGTTAACACGACTCGGTTCAAACTAAGCTCTCATCTTAATATAAACACAGTTAGTTCAGACAGAACATTGTCTTTGAAGAATTTATTCAAACTGTCTACAACATAATTAAATACACAAGATCCCAGAGAAATCTTGGTGCACTTCATTTTTCTAATCTTTGTTCTTTAAAAGTTTCTATTCCTTTCTTTTCTCTTCTCTCCTCCTTGTTTGCTCTTATAGAATTTGAAAATTCTTTATAAGAATTATTTATCAAGATCATCATCTGTCAGCCATTTTTTATATTTCTGATGTGTTCCATTATCAAAAGGGCACAACAAGGAACCAAGAGAAATGTTGGAATGAATTTCATCTTACCACAAAAACTTTCAGCAGTTAGAAGGATTATTTTTTTTACTTTAAAAGAAATCTTACTAAGAAGCTGTTTTCCATGATGCAGATGGTAGTTTTGGTGAGGAGTAGGTAACTAACAAGTGTTACTTATTTTTTGACAGTAAAATTGGAACTCATTTCCAATGATGAAACTTGAGAAGTTTGAAATAGGTGTCACACAGGAAAACCATGATTGTGCAATCTTGTTACAAAATGGCCTCCTGGTTGCCATATCTAAGTTTTGAAAAGGTTGAAAAATAACAACACTTTGTTGGCTACCTTTCCTTAGCATTTCCACCAATTTTTATTTCAATGGTACTAGTGTAACTGGAAAACAAGTTTAAAATATGTGTTTTGAAGATGGTGGCCATCTTGGATTTCAGACATACCGGAAAAATAACAATACTTGGTCAAGACTATCTCAGTATCATTTCATGCAAGTTTGAGCTCAAAACCACTGTTGGAACTTGAGAAGAAGTTTGAAATGTCAAAAGTTTACGCACGGAGGAAGATGGCTATAGGTCAGTTGACCTAAAAATAGTGATAAACTTTCACTGTTGAAATCCAAGGGGAGTTCCTGTCAGCTTCTTTGTTTCTCTGATCAGTTAAAAAATAAAAAGTACACAACTAGAGACTATGGGAAACCTATATATGGAGTGTTTGAAAGATTCATTAAGAACTTCTAAAGAAAGAATAATAAAAATTAAAGAATGCTGCCTGCCAGCCATTTCTGAACACTCCCTTAATGAAAAGGGCACAACTAAGGGCCAAGGGGAAAATTCAAATAAAATTTGAGATATACTCATCCAGCACATCTTTTGAAATGGCACTAACAATCTATCAATGCAAAATGTCGGTCATTTTGCTTTTGAAGTTAGAAAATGGAACAATGCACAACTAGGGGCCAAGGGAAATGTTCCTATGAAATTTGAGTTATTATGAATTAGCATTAACAAACTGTCAGCAACAAAATCTAAGATGGCCACATGCCAGCCATTTTGTGTTCAGATCAGTCCAAAAATCTAAAAAAGCAAAATTAGGGACCAAAGAGAATGTTGATATTTGGGAAAGAAGCATCCAATACTTTCTGAAGAAAAAAACAAGCATTTGTTATCAAAATCAAAGATTGCTGCTTCTCTGCCATTTTGTTTTAGATCTGTGAAAAATTGGCACGCTGCACAACTAGGAACCAAGGAAAACAGAAAAATGAAATATGACAATTATCTATCAAGTACTTCTCAAGTGATGAAAATTTATATAAAATATTACTGTTAAAATCAAGATCGCTGCATGTCAGCCATTTTGTTCTTCAAAATTGTCCCAAAATAGGAAAGTCCACAACTAGGGACTAAGAGAAACCTACAAACCTGAGGATTATACATCCCCATCCAGACCCTACCGTTTCTGTACCTCCCCATCCAGAACATACCCTTTCTGTACCTCCCCATCCAGAATCTACCCTTCCTGTACCTTCCCATCCAGAACCTACCCTTTCTGTACCTACCCATCCAGAACCTACCCTTGTCTTCCCATACCTCCCCTGTACCTCCCCATCCAGAACCTACCCTTTCTGTACATCCCCATCCAGAACCTACCCTGCCTATACATCCCCATCCAGAACCTACCCTGCCTGTACCTTCCCATCCAGAACCTACCCTTTCTCTACCTCCCCATCCAGAACCTACCCTGCCTGTACATCCCCATCCAGAACCTACCCTGCCTGTACATCCCCATCCAGAACCTACCCTTTCTGTACCTCCCCATCCAGAACCTACCCTTTCTGTACCTCCCCATCCAGAACCTACCCTTCCTGTACCTCCCCATCCAGAACCTACCCTTTCCTGTACCTTCCCATCCAGAACCTACCCTTTCTGTACCTCCCCATCCAGAACCTACCCTGCCTGTACATCCCCATCCAGAACCTACCCTTCCTGTACCTTCCCATCCAGAACCTACCCTTTCCTGTACCTTCCCATCCAGAAACTACCCTTCCTATACCTCCCCATCCAGAACCTACTCTTTCTGTACCTCCCCATCCAGAACCTACCCTTTCTCTACCTCCCCATCCAGAACCTACCCTTTCTGTACCTCCCCATCCAGAACCTACCCTTTCCTGTACCTTCCCATCCAGAACCTACCCTTTCTGTACCTCCCCATCCAGAACCTACCCTTTCTGTACCTCCCCATCCAGAACCTACCCTGCCTGTACATCCCCATCCAGAACCTACCCTGCCTGTACATCCCCATCCAGAACCTACCCTGCCTGTACATCCCCATCCAGAACTTACCCTTTCTGTACCTCCCCATCCAGAACCTACCCTGCCTGTACCTCCCCATCCAGAACCTACCCTTCCTGTTCCTTCTCATCCAGAACCTAACCTTCCTGTACCTCCCCATCCAGAACCTACCCTTTCTGTACCTCCCCATCCAGAATCTACCCTTTCTGTACATCCCCATCCAGAACCTACCCTGCCTATACATCCCCATCCAGAACCTACCCTTTCTCTACCTCCCCATCCAGAACCTACCCTTTCTGTACCTCCCCATCCAGAACCTACCCTTTCTCTACCTCCCCATCCAGAACCTACCCTTTCCTGTATCCATCCAGAACCTACCCTTGTACTGTACCCCCCCATCCAGAACCTACCCTTTCTGTACCTCCCCATCCAGAACCTACCCTTTCTGTACCTCCCCATCCAGAACCTACCCTGCCTGTACATCCCCATCCAGAACCTACCCTTTCTGTACCTCCCCATCCAGAACCTACCCTTCCTGTTCCTTCTCATCCAGAACCTGCCCTTTCTGTACCTTCCCATCCCTAACCTACCCTTCCTGTACCTCCCCATCCAGAACCTACCCTGCCTGTACATCCCCATCCAGAACCTACCCTTTCTCTACCTCCCCATCCAGAACCTACCCTTTCTGTACCTCCCCATCCAGAACCTACTCTTTCTGTACATCCCCATCCAGAACCTACCCTTTCTCTACCTCCCCATCCAGAACCTACCCTGCCTGTACATCCCCATCCAGAACCTACCCTTTCTCTACCTCCCCATCCAGAACCTACCCTTTCTGTACATCTCCATCCAGAACCTACCCTTTCTCTACCTCCCCATCCAGAACCTACCCTTTCTGTACCTCCCCATCCAGAACCTACCCTTTCTCTACCTCCCCATCCAGAACCTACCCTGCCTGTACATCCCCATCCAGAACCTACCCTTTCTCTACCTCCCCATCCAGAACCTACCCTTTCTGTACATCCCCATCCAGAACCTACCCTTTCTGTACCTCCCCATCCAGAACCTACCCTTTCCTGTACCTTCCCATCCAGAAACTACCCTTCTTGTACCTCCCCATCCAGAACCTACCCTTTCTGTACCTCCCCATCCAGAACCTACCCTCCCCATCCAGAACCTACCCTTTCTGTACCTCCCCATCCAGAACCTACCCTTTCTGTACCTCCCCATCCAGAACCTACCCTGCCTGTACATCCCCATCCAGAACCTACCCTGCCTGTACCTTCCCATCCAGAACCTACCCTTTCTCTACCTCCCCATCCAGAACCTACCCTTTCCTGTACCTTCCCATCCAGAACCTACCCTTTCTGTACCTCCCAATCCAGAACCTACCCTGCCTGTACATCCCCATCCAGAACCTACCCTTTCTGTACCTCCCCATCCAGAACCTACCCTTTCTGTACCTCCCCATCCAGAACCTACCCTTTCTGTACCTCCCCATCCAGAACCTACCCTTCCTGTACCTCCCCATCCAGAACCTACCCTTTCTGTACCTCCCCATCCAGAACCTACCCTTTCTGTACCTCCCCATCCAGAACCTACCCGTGCTGTACCTCCCCATCCAGAACCGCCTGTACCTCCCCATCCAGAACCACCCTTCCTGTACCTTCCCATCTAGAACCTACCCTTCCTGTACCTTCCCATCCAGAACCTACCCTTCCTGTACATCCCCATCCAGAACCTACCCTTTCTCTACCTCCCCATCCAGAACCTACCCTTTCTGTACCTCCCCATCCAGAACCTACCCTTTCTGTACCTCCCCATCCAGAACCTACCCTGCCTGTACATCCCCATCCAGAACCTACCCTTTCTGTACCTCCCCATCCAGAACCTACCCTGCCTGTACCTCCCCATCCAGAACCTACCCTTCCTGTTCCTTCTCATCCAGAACCTACCCTTTCTGTACCTTCCCATCCAGAACCTAACCTTCCTGTACCTCCCCATCCAGAACCTACCCTTTCTGTACCTCCCCATCCAGAACCTACCCTTTCTGTACCTCCCCATCCAGAACCTACCCTGCCTGTACCTCCCCATCCAGAACCTCCAGAACCTACCCTTCCTGTACATCCCCATCCAGAACCTACCCTGCCTGTACCTTCCCATCCAGAACCTACCCTTTCTCTACCTCCCCATCCAGAACCTACCCCTCCTGTACATCCCCATCCAGAACCAACCCTGCCTGTACATCCCCATCCAGAACCTACCCTTCCTGTACCTTCCCATCTAGAACCTACCCTTCCTGTACCTTCCCATCCAGAACCTACCCTTCCTGTACCTCCCCATCCAGAACCTACCCTTTCTGTACATCCCCATCCAGAACCTACCCTTTCTTTACCTCCCTATCCAGAACCTACCCTGCCTGTACATCCCCATCCAGAACCTACCCTGCCTGTACATCCCCATCCAGAACCTACCCTTCCTGTACCTCCCCATCCAGAACCTACCCTTTCTGTACCTTCCCAGAACCTACCCTTCCTGTACATCCCCATCCAGAACCTACCCTTTCTGTACCTCCCCATCCAGAACCTACCCTTCCTCTACCTCCCCATCCAGAACCTACCCTTTCTGTACATCCCCATCCAGAACCTACCCTGCCTGTACATCCCCATCCAGAACCTACCCTGCCTGTACCTTCCCATCCAGAACCTACCCTTTCTGTACCTCCCCATCCAGAACCTACCCTTCCTGTACATCCCCATCCAGAACCTACCCTTCCTGTACCTCCCCATCCAGAACCTACCCTTCCTGTACATCCCCATCCAGAACCTACCCTTCCTGTACATCCCCATCCAGAACCTACCCTTCCTGTACCTTCCCATCCCGAACCTACCCTTTCTGTACCTCCCCATCCAGAACCACCCTTCCTGTACCTTCCCATCCAGAACCTACCCTTCCTGTACCTTCCCATCCAGAACCTACCCTTCCTGTACCTTCCCATCCAGAACCTACCCTTCCTGTACCTTCCCATCCAGAACCTACCCTTCCTGTACATCCCCATCCAGAACCTACCCTGCCTGTACATCCCCATCCAGAACCTACCCTGCCTGTACATCCCCATCCAGAACCTACCCTGCCTGTACCTTCCCATCCAGAACCTACCCTTCCTGTTCCTTCCCATCCAGAAACTACCCTGACTGAACCTATACATCCCCATCTCAAATCATCATTTCGTTCCTTGCCATCCAGACCTACCCTGCCTGTACTTCCCCATCCAGGCCACAGTAACTGGTGCGTAGCAGTACATCAGACTTGTACATGTATTTCTTCAGGAATTCTGCAGCACGTTCTGCTTGCTGTGTGTACATTTCCTCTCCCAGTGCCTGACCAGCCTTGGAAAGTCCAGATATCATCATACCTAAGTAGATATATTCATTTATGTTAAAACAATTGTTTTAAGGAAAGATGTTTGACCTTTTAGAACTTAGCAATTAATGAATTATGAATGAGGAACTAGTAACTTGTTTATGGATTACCTGTCAATGATTTATCTATAAATGACTTCTTTACCTGTTCATGACTTATCCTCAATCATTAACCTGTCATTGACTAACCTAATAATGTCTTAATTGTCAATGAATAACTCAACGATGACTTACCTGTCAATGGCTAACCTTATGATGACTAACTTGTTAATGACTAACCTTATGATGACTAACCTGTCAATGACTACCCTACTGATGACTTACCTGTCAATGACTAACCTAATGATGACTTACCTGTCAATGACTAACCTAATGATGACTTACCTGTCAATGACTACCCTAATGATGACTTACCTGTCAATGACTAACCTTATGATGACTTACCTGTCATTGACTACCCTAATGATGACTTACCTGTCATTGACTAACCTTATGATGACTGACCTGTCAATGACTACCCTAATGATGACTGACCTGTCAATGACTAACCTTATGATGACTTACCTGTCAATGACTACCCTAATGATGACTTACCTGTCAATGACTAACCTAATGATGACTTACCTGTCAATGACTACCCTAATGATGACTTACCTGTCAATGACTAACCTTATGATGACTTACCTGTCATTGACTACCCTAATGATGACTTACCTGTCATTGACTAACCTTATGATGACTGACCTGTCAATGACTACCCTAATGATGACTGACCTGTCAATGACTAACCTTATGATGACTTACCTGTCAATGACTACCCTAATGATGACTTACCTGTCAATGACTAACCTATTGAAGACTTACCTGTTAATTAACTACTGCCATGTTGGTGACTTATGAAAATGATACAGTGACACTCCTATGTGATGAACAGTTGTTAGCTATTTGTCATTAATCTAACATACCATTCCATGCAGCCACCATCTTGTTATCAAGGTGAGGTTTAGGGCGAGTTTGTCTGGCAGTATAGAGTAGCTGGCGCCCCTTGTTGAGGGAGGTTCTGGTCAATTCTTCTGTTAACCCAAACTTCTTAGCAGTGTCAATCAAGGATCCCCGCTCGATCAAAACATTCTGACTGGTCAGTTCATCATGAGGATCCTAGATATAGAATACTATTAATTGTTTGTACCAAGAGAACAATGAAATGACAGTAAATATATATTACTTAACTATTTAGTCTACTTGAATATGTTTGTAAGAGTTATTGAATTTGATTAAATCCCAATGAAAGAAATTCAGAAGTTGTTCAATCAACCAGGCCAATCGTCTTGGATTAGAAGCTGACACAAGAATGAAGCAAAATTTGGTCAGTATAACCCTGAATCTTCTAGAAAATTCCCTGTAAATCCACCTTGTATAACTAGAAGTGTGTGATGATGGAGTGAAGAGGTCAGGCTTAACTATTAGTTACAAAAAAAAATCACATGCAGCAGAGTTCTGCTGCACGTGATGTTCAAATTACCCTACAGCAAAAATGGCTCACCTGGAACGGATCCACATTTCCTTCAGGTTTCACACCATAATGGTGGGAGAACACATTGGCCAAGGTCACCTCAGGATAACCCTGAACTTCCTCCGCCAACAGGCTGTCCACCTGTGATTGGGACCATACACAGAAAGCCCCTTCCTTTTTTATTGTAGACTCCTCAGATGGTAGAGAGTCAGCATCCTCTGCACTGTAGAATCCTCCTGCCTGATGCAGAAAATCAAAAGTCTTACAGATTTCTAACAACTCTAGAATCATTGGTGACTTTTAAGATTTAATCCATTTACTTTTATACTTAATCTTTTATACAATCTTACAGTCAAGGGGTTCCTTGATAACAACACTAGTATATATCAGAGGTCCTAGGTACATGCTCTAGATGCTTCAGGCCCTCAATGTCCCTAGATACAACATCTCCAAACTTACCAAGCTCTAGACTGGTGGTGCATTGTTAAAAAGTCTACATACTAACCAGATTTTGCAGGTCCTTGGTTACAATGTCAGCATGCTTACCAAGCAGGTCCCTATTTGTAAAGTCTACAAATTCATTGAGCTCTGTAGTCCCAAGTTACAAATTTACAAAGTTCTGGAGTTTCCTTGTTACAAAGTCTACTAACTAACAAGGCTCTGGAGGTCTCTAGTTACAAAGTACACAAACATATCAAGTTCTGGAGGTCCCTAATTACAAAGTATACAAACATACAGTGTTCAGGAGATCCCTATATTCAAATTCTACAAACTTACCAGGTTCTGGAGGTCCCTAATTACAAAGTATACAAACATACCAGGTTCTGGAGGTCCCCAATTACAAAGTCTACAAAACATACTGTGTTCAGGAGATCCCTATATTCAAATTCTACAAACTCACTGGGCTCTGGAGATCCCTCGTTACATACTCTATAATATTCTTGGCCACTTCCGCATACCTTGGCTCTTTGGTTATCTGAAAACATATCAATACATGTCTGTAAACAAATGATCCTTATCTGAGTTACAAATTTACAAATTTTTGGTTAAAAATGTGGCCATGTCCATAACCATATCATTTTTTATTATATTTTCATCAGCGAAATGTAGAAATTTATCAATTTGATAAAAATTTGTTATAATGATATAACGTTTTCAAAAAGTTTTGCAATTAAACCAATTAGAGTAGGGCTTTCAAGTGACTGCATTAAAATTTAGTGCCTTTCCTGTTCAACCCAACATAAAGCAAAAGTTGTATCATTTGGTTTTCCATCAAATCTTTTACTAGTTAAATATCCTCTATAAACAGATGTTCACAACAATTATGAATACCGGGTAAATGAATGCTTTATCACATTCCTGTTACCATGGATACCAGGTAGGCCTCACTATTACTAAGGAAACCTGTTACCATTATTACCTGATATGCCTCACTATAACAGGATAGCAGTTGGCCCTGGTCATACAACATCTTTTCAAAGTGGGGTACATGCCAGAATTTGTCAGTTGAGTATCTGTGAAATCCCTGTATCATTTAAAAAAAGGGAATCACATGATGTAGAAAAGAGAATACTTGTGAAAGAGCTCTCTGTTATCATATTTATAGTTCCTGTGAGCACCATTTACTGCTATTATTAATACAGCTTCAAAGAGCACCATTTACTCCTAACATAAGTAGCTCCAGAGAGCACCATACTGTGCTGTCATAAGAACAGCTTCAAAGAGCACCATTTACTCCTAACATAAGTAGCTCCAGAGAGCACCATACTGTGCTGTCATAAGAACAGCTTCAAAGAGCACCATTTACTCCTAACATAAGTAGCTCCAGAGAGCACCATACTGTGCTGTCATAAGAACAGCTTCAAAGAGCACCATTTACTCCTAACATAAGTAGCTCCAGAGAGCACCATACTGTGCTGTCATAAGAACAGCTTCAAAGAGCACCATTTACTACTATCATAAGTATAGTTCCAAGGAGCATTGTTTACCAGTATCAACAGTACTGGCAACACCATTTACAGGTACCATTTGCGTATCTATAAATCCTCATCTCCTACAGATCAACTTTTCCCAATACTCCATTACTTAAAGGATAAACATTCTTTGGGAAAACATCAAACTTTGTTAAATACATATCAAAAAGGATAAAATGGTTGTTAGACCTAACAATCACAGGGACTGGAATGAATTGATCATTAGTTTAGTACATTGTATCTGAGTACACTATTTTGTCAAGGAGAATAACAGATCTTGACCTCAAAGACTGACCTGTGAAATATGATCATATATGCCACCCTTAGCCATACAGGTCAAGGTAAAGAGGGCTTGGTCAAGGGCTCTCTTACCCTCCTCAGTGGAAGAGTTGTTGGCATAGTAACGAAGCATGAAATTCAGATTTACTGTAAATAAAGAAGATCTATTAACACATCGATACACAAGATTACAAAACCACAAATAAATTGTGATATACAATAAAGCTTGTATTGATACAACATCTCTTCTTACATGTTTTCAATTTCTACAATTTAAGATACAATGTACCCACCTTGCATCAGTGTATCACAATTTAATAAGAGAAAGCATGTCAAGTATAGTTACATTACTTCTGCTTATTAACATCATCATGGTTCAATGATAAAAACCCATATCTTAAGGATATAAAGCTCCCAATAGTTGATATACTCATGTTTAAATGTAGCACCTGGCTGTGGAAACTTTGGAGCTTCTTTTCCAAATCCACCAAGCTCCTCATCATAAGATTTGTCCAACATGTTAAAACATGTTTTTATAGCCTGTATCCCAGGTAGTGGTGTCCCCTCCCCATCCTGTGTGTGGATTTTTGCCCGAGAAAGTGCCTCCAGGATGGAATTGCCTTGATCATTCACTTCTTGTCGCTTGTTCTTCCACTAAAAATTTTTTTTCTTAATTTAAGAAGTGGAATCTAACTTAAAATTATCTTCAAACAAATCTGGGAAAGAACTGTTCTTGCATTCTTAATCATTCTTTTCACATCTGAATCATTTTGAATCTTAGTGAACTGAGATTTATCGGGTAACTTAAATGACATGGTTCATTCACAATAGCATCTCATTTTCTGATTGTAATATCATATACACAACTTCATTGCATTTATGATAACCATCTTCCTCAATTTCTTCATCATCTATTTAGAGTGTTTTATATTTGAGGAAGTTAATGGTTCAAAATAGGTTAGTCAGTATCCTACCTCAGAAATGTTTCCACACAGTGTAAGAATTGTGAAAAATAACTTATTTACAACACTTGCTATCAGAGTGAAGTAATATCTTGACTAATGACTGACTGACTCACTCACCAATTGCGCAATGTGAAGCAGCACACTTTTGAATCCTGGGCGGCCATAATATCGGTCGTCTGGTGGAAAGTAGGTGCCTCCTACCACAGGACATCTGTCTGGGGTCATCCATACACTCATAGGCCAACCACCACCCCCACTAGTAGCCTGTAATTATACACATACTACAGGATATATATTCTCACCTGTTAAAGGTTATTTTTAGATGCACCTGTACAAACATTATTTTTTAGATGTTATTCTCACCTGTACAAACATTATTTTTACTTGCTATTCACAGCTGTACAAACATTATTTTTACTTGCTATTCACACCTGTACAAACATTATTTTTACTTGCTATTCACAGCTGTACAAACATTATTTTTACTTGCTATTCACAGCTGTACAAACATTATTTTTACTTGCTATTCACACCTGTACAAACATTATTTTTACTTGCTATTCACAGCTGTACAAACATTATTTTTACTTGCTATTCACAGCTGTACAAACATTATTTTTACTTGCTATTCACAGCTGTACAAACATTATTTTTACTTGCTATTCACAGCTGTACAAACATTATTTTTTAGATGTTATTCTCACCTGTACAAACATTATTTTTTAGATGTTATTCTCACCTGTACATAGGTAATTTTACATGCTATTCACACCTGTACAAACATTACTTTTACTTGCTATTCTCACCTGTGCAAACATTATTTTTACATGCTATTCTCACCTGTACAAAGGTCATATACACTCTGTCAACATCAGGTCGCTCCTCTCTATCTACCTTGATAGCTACATAATGCTCATTGAGAATTTTGCCAATTTCTTCATTTTCAAATGATTCCCGTTCCATTACATGGCACCAGTGACATGTGGAGTAGCCAACAGATAGAAAGATCATCTTGTCCTCTGCCAGTGCCTTGTCAAATGCCTCCTGGCACCAGGGGTACCTTTAACAAACAACAGCAACTACTTTGATAAAAGGTGGAAAAAACCTAGAAATTTGCTGTTAGATCCTTGTTTTACAGCAAACAAACTGGTACGCCAGACCAACAAACAGTAGGACCAAACTGAGCAGTATAAGCAGGAACAGAAGAGTAGTAGGCAGTAGGAGGAGTAACAGAAGGAGCAGTAGGTTGCTTTGTCATATTATCAATTCTGCTTACATTTTCCACTTTTACATTAAAGGAGTCTGGTGCAAAGCTGCTACTGAAGATGTAATACTCTGACATTATATTGAAAAGTTCTGAAATCTAGATAAACCTCTGTTTTTACACACTTACCAGTTAACAGGGTTAGAAGCATGCTGTAACAGGTAAGGCGACTTTTCGGCAGACAATCTGTTTTGGGCTCGAGCTGCCTCATTCTCACTTTCTGAAGCCATATCTCTACAATTTCAGAGAAAGCCATTTTAGAAATGTTCTCCTTGAAAACAATTATTAAATGTAAAACAGTGGGTCAGTGTGGCTTTTATAAAGTGTGAAGTACAGTCCCTGTCACTCAGCTAAATAGTTGGAGTAAGTTGTATGTAGTATTAAATACAGACTGTCACTTAGTCAATGTGTATGCTTCTTTGGCTAAGTTGTTAGAACCATGTGGATCCTCACACCAGAGACCCAGGTTGGATTCCTGCCGGGTCACTTGACAGAAATGTATGTTTTCCCTGTTCTTTCACAAAAGCTTAAGATGATCATCTTCAAATTTCCAGGTGTTATTGGGATTTGCATGAAATCTGTTTATCAAATGAAGTACAACTTGTTGTTTATCAAATGAAGTACAACTTGTTGTTTATCAAATGAAGTACAACTTATTGTTTATCAAATGAAGTACAACTTGTTGTCAGTTGTTATCTATCCAGCTAATTGCTACATGCTATTAGTCTGACAGGTTATCTCCCTTGGAGAAAACTTCACACTTGACTAGATTCTATAAGTGAACTAAGCAAACACCCGATTGCTGCGGTAGATTGAGTTGGTAAAGGACAGGTATAAAATGTATCTTAAGGTTTGGACCATTCTTTGTCTATATCATACCCTTAATCATAAAACTTCCAGTCTTCTATTTGATCACTTACAATCTGCGCTGAGATTATAACTGATTCTAATCCCTGAAATTTGAAGGATGCTTTTATATATCTGTAATCTGATGATAAGGTTAATATGATTAAAAGTTTGTGTTAAGGTAGAAGATAGAAGGATACAAACCCTATCAGTTACAATACAAAGGAGTTCTACATTTTTTGATTTTGAGATTTCTCTTATGATTCAAAATTAAGCCATGAACTTGAGAGTTACATGTATGTCACACCGCTCCACCCCAAACACCCCCAACATTTTATCTTTCACTTGATGTTTACAAACACTTTCCTTCTTAATAAAAATAGTAACAGTATATACAATTCACAGTGTTTGTTTAAAGGTCCTGTTGAAATTGATGTGTGATACTAAATAATTTCTTTTTTTCCTGCTGAATACCTTTGCTGAATGTGAATCACTTTTTCCCTCAGTATTAAGCAACTTTTGTTAAATTTTGCCCGAATATTTTTCATTTTTTTTGAGACAAAAGTGACATCACTTTATCTCTAGAGTGTTCACACGATTACAACGTGGTCAACAGTATGGAGAAATATCATAGTTAGCTATGTCATTCTCCATGTATTACATTAATGTATAGTCTTCCTCTTGTTTACAATAATAAATATTTAAACTGTTTAAGATCAAGTTTGAAGCTGCTTCGCGATATTTCATACACCAAGTGTTTTAAATTGTTGATAACACTTAATTAAACTTCATATATCAACGTAGGATGGTCTTACACTTATAATCGTATGGTATTGTTACTATGTAAACTTTAATACTACAAGCACATAGATAGTCCACAAAAATAGCGTGAACAAAGTTTGGTTACCTCCCTTAGCTTGTAACGCGGAGCATTAAATTACTTGTAAGCTAGCTGGTACTCGTGGGCAATATGATCGCTAATATTCAACATGGAACACTAATGTGTATCACTGAATTACAAATGGTTGAAATGTTTTATTTCCGTGTCACTTGTTTACAAACAATATCGGTGTCTGTTGGGTACCTGGACAGTACCTGGTCTGTATTAGGTGTGTAGCTGTACGATTACGCAAAACGCAACCCAGTGACAGTCTTATCGAGTCACAGTCGTTGATGAGGATGCGCACGTTGGCCCGTGTAAGTACACGAAACGCACGCGCTGTGGACTGCAGGACGATCATCAAACCTTTAAGACCGTCTGAAACATCTGCTGATTGTTGACATTTTTCCCCGTTCGGAACCATTCACGAGATCATCCGAATGTCTCATCTAAATTTCGCGGGAAATTTCGATTGGCCCAAATATAGAGATCCGCTGCTTCGCAATTTAGGAATGAACTGGTGTTTTATTGGAGAAACGAACAAAAAAGTATGAAACTTGAATTACTGAGAAACTAACAAAAGTATATTAAAGAAAAATTGAAATGGTGTGAACAAACAACATGCCAAAGGCATATAATTTATAAGGACTAACAGGCGATGTGGCTAGTACCAGCGTCCGTGTAGCCTACGTGCAGGAAGCCAAGTCTATTATGATATGATTATTCTTAAAGCATATTTTGTCATGAAAATGAATTGGGCACAAGTTATCAAACTTCCATTAAGTCATTTCCTATCAAATTACAAGCATATGTATCTACAACATGACAAGGATGACACGGATTTATCGATGGACTGTCTTGTTTCGTTATCACGAGACAGCTACAAATAGTACATACTCTGGCTCATTTACGTGGTTTTCTAGTATTTCAATTAAGTCCATATACACAGGGAAAGGCCAAGTACGTACTTTATTACGTTCTTATATTATAGCAACTGTTTTATTATTATATACATTTTACATAAAACATGTAGATATGGTTAAAATGACTCGGAGTGAGAGGGACAACAGGACGGGCCATGAGTGTTACTAGGATCTGTCCGAACCACTAATATAGTGCTGAGTGTGTATGATTATTGTTATTTTTCCTCTTCGGAGAGAGAAGTATCTCCAAACAGATGCAAATTAAACGTAGCACATATTCCTTCAGTTCACGAGAAAGGTTCATTCTTTGTCCGATACAATTGTTGATGATAAATTGTGTGTCTTCAACAGAGAGGCTACATATACAACGCTGTGATATGTAAGCTTAACACGGAAAACATTGGTGTTTTTTTCCGGGGAATTAGAATGCTACTGTGTGCAAAATGCTTTATTTTCTCTCACCACAGAAGAAATTAGTTGGTAAAAGGGTAAAATTTAGGAATGCCTTTCCTGGTGATGTACTGTAGATAAATGGTCCCACAGTACACAGTGTACAAGTAGAAGGAAAGGAGGATACGTTAGATAGATCTAGTATAGGGTGAAGTTTCAGAGCTTCGAACAATGATCGTGCGAGTTATCGACAGTTTCTGGAACCAGATTTTATTGAATACAAATAAATTAAGCAATACTTAATATGGGCTAATAGAAAGCTTGCACCGAAGTGGGCAAATAAGGTTTTAAGGGTTAGAGCCCATGAAACATATCTTAATAAACCTGATACACACAAAATGTAGTTGACAAGGAATTGATGATGATAATTTGTATCAGCAAGAAGTAAGAGTCTATGTGATACATTAATACAAAATATCAGACATTTGAAAATCTCCAAAACGTCAGTTTTACTCGAGAAATTTACATTTGGAAGTTAACGAAATCAAAATTCTAGAACAGGATACCTGTAACTACACTGCGTCAAGGAGCGAGTTAGAGAAGCGGAATCTGGAGATGAATTCCGCTAGAACCTGGTGATAAATTCCGCTAGAACCTGGTGATGAATTCTACTAGAACCTGGTGATGAATTTCACTAGAACCTGGAGATGAATTCTACTAGAACCTGGAGATGAATTCTTCTAGAACCTGGAGATGAATTTCACTAGAACCTGGAAATGAATTCCACTAGAATCCGGAAATGAATTCCGCTAGAACCTGGTGATGAATTCCGCTAGAACCTGGTGATAAATTCCACTAGAACCTGGTGATAAATTCCGCTAGAACCTGGTGATGAATTCTACTAGAACCTGGTGATGAATTTCACTAGAACCTGGAGATGAATTCTACTAGAACCTGGAGATGAATTCTTCTAGAACCTGGAGATGAATTTCACTAGAACCTGGAAATGAATTCCACTAGAATCCGGAAATGAATTCCGCTAGAACCTGGTGATGAATTCCGCTAGAACCTGGTGATAAATTCCACTAGAACCTGGTGATAAATTCCACTAGAACCTGGTGATGAATTTCACTAGAACCTGGAGATGAATTCTACTAGAACCTGGAGATGAATTTCACTAGAACCTGGAAATGAATTCCACTAGAATCCGGAGATGAATTCCGCTAGAACCTGGAGATGAATTCCGCTAGAACCTGGTGATGAATTCCACTAGAACTTGGAGATGAATTCCACTAGAACCTGGTGATGAATTCCGCTACAACCTGGTGATGAATTCCGCTAGAATCCGGAGATGAATTCCACTAGAACCTGGAGATGAATTACACTAGAACCTGGTGATGAATTCCGCTAGAACCTGATGATGAATTCCATTAGAACCTGGAGATGAATTCCGCTAGAACCTGGTGATGAATTCCGCTAGAACCTGATGATGAATTCCGCTAGAATCCGGAGATGAATTCCACTAGAACCTGGAGATGAATTCCGCTAGAACCTGGTGATGAATTCCGCTAGAACCTGATGATGAATTCCATTAGAACCTATGAAAATAAAAGAAAACAGACTTGAGGAACAATCAAAATCAGATAATCCAGATAATGATAAAGAAATAGATAAACTCAGTAAAGAAATTAAATGTTACTATGACCAAAAATCGAACGAGTTTAGAATTTGCTCTAGAATTAAGGAATTTGAAGAACATGAAACTTCTTCTCGATATTTCTTTAATCTTGAAAAGAAGAGAGTTAGCGAAAAACTATGGTATAAAATTAAAGCTGATGATGGTAATTACAAAGAAGGAATTGATGCGATTTTATCGGAACAAAAGAAATTTTATAAAAAGCTATTTACTTCGGATGGCTGGGACAGCGATGCCGCAGATACATTTCTTCGAAATGTCGAGAAAAAATTAACTGAAGAGCAAAAACAATATCCGAGGAAGAAATTAGAAAATGTATCTACCAAATGAAAAAGAATAAATCTCCTGGAGAGGACGGTGTAGCTGTGGAATTTTACCAATATTATTGGAAAACTATTAAGGATGACTTTCTAGCCGTACTATTAGAAATTTCTCAATCAGGTAATTTATTAACATCTCAGACTATGGGAATATTAACCTTACTTTATAAAACCGGTGAAAGAGAAGAGATACGTAATTGGAGACCACTGACGCTATTAAATGTCGATTAAAAAATCATAGCTAAAACTCTGGCAGATAGAATTAAAACTTATTTAAAAGATGTAATTCATCTGGATCAAAAGGGGTTCGTCCCTGGACGTAATATAACTGAAGCAAATAGACTGATTCAAGGCCTCTTTGTTTATCAGCAGAAGGATAGAGTGGCATGGGGCTGGTACAAGATGCAAAAACTTGTATTAATACAAATGGTTACATTTCTGATTTTCCCCTATATCTCGCTCAGCTAGGCAGGGATGCTCTATTACACCAATTTTGTACATTATACAAGCTGAACCTCTTGCATGCTCTATAAGAAGTAACACTAATATTAAAGGCATACAACTTCCAAATCATAACGAGGCGAAAATCAATATGTTTGCGGACGACACGCAGCTCTTTAATAATGATGAACAATCTATTGTGAATTCTTTTGATATTCTTAACTTATATGAAAAAGCTTCAGGTTCAAAAATAAATTGTAATAAAACAACAGGTACATATCTAGGTAGTTGGAAAAATAAAGAACCAATTTTTAGGAATATCAGTTGGTCGCGTACATTTGTAAAAAAAACTTTGGGAGTCCATCACGGATATTTAGTAGCCGATGACGTCATATGGAAGAGTAAAATCAACAAAATAACTCCATGTATGGAAAAGTAGAAATCTTACACTTTATGGTAAACGGATATTAATCAAGTCTTTATCAATGTCACTTATAGGTAACGAAATAGAGACTCGTGGTATTCCAGAAAAGTATTTGATTCTTTAATTTGGAAATTTGTGTGGAATGATAAGAAAGATCTGGTTAAACGTGCGTCTATGTCGTTTAATTTGAGTGAAGGAGGGATGGATATTATTGATATAAGATAATATGTATTAAGCCAAAAAATTAAACTTATTTATACGATAATGAAAAGCGAAAACGCTACATGGAACGCAATAGGTAAGCATACAGAGTACCATACTATTTATGCAAACTGTCAGATGTAAGGAATCTAAATCTGTCACATATCTCTGATTTTTATAAGTCTATTATATCTGCATGGTCAGAACTACAAAGATCGAATTGGCCAACGTGTAAAACCGAAGCTCTTCAACAGTTCCTATTTGGAAACCATTCATTTCAGTTTAATAAAAATCCAATATTCTTTTGTTCCTTTACGAAAAGGGCACTTTGTACTGTCAACGATATTTGGGACAACGAAAAAAAACGACTTTAAGGAAGATATGATAATTTACAAATTACTTACAAATAAGCGCAATTGTATAGCTGAACTTTCCAGAATATAGCGATCATTTCTTAAATTATTGAGAAGTAATAAAAATCAAATGGAGCAATGTGCATATCCTAAAATTGATGTTGACTGTGATTTAATTGATAAGAGCCATCGAAAAATCCCGTTTAAAAAAGTTAAATTGAAAACCTTGATGATGAAGTTAAACCAAACTGTCAAGTTAAATGGGAATTTGGATTTGGAATAATATTGGTTTATCGATTACTACCAAAAATGAAAGAATTTCAATGGAAATGCATTCATAATATAATATATACAGATTCTAAAATAAGCAAGTTTGGGAACTCTAATGGGAAATGTCATTTTTGTAAAGTTTGCTATTTACCATCTGTTTTATGGATGTGCACATGTGAAAAACATTATTAATATGTGTTGTCAGCTAGTAGATTTTGCTATTCCAGAATACAGAGACCAAATCTCTGGTGAAGTCATAATGCTTGGTTGTAATGGAAATAAGGATTGGATTAAATTTAATACGATAATTATAACTATAACGTGGATAATCTGGAAGACAGGGAACGAATTGAAATACCAAAATCAGGTTTATACAATAGCAGAAACAGGTAAAAAAATTGTAATTCATTAATAGATAATCTATACTTAGATATTAACTCAAAGCAAAATAAAACATTTCTACTACATAAAGCACAAAATGTCATTAATTAATTAACAGAATAAAGTATGTTTTGAAAAATATAGTGATGAGATGGTGTTTATACGCATTAATAGTGTGTGAAGGTGCAGAAATACAGAATGGATGTTAAAAAAAAAGAAGTTTAGATGGAAAATAATGGATGATGCACATAAACATTGCCGATAACTGGAGACTGTCCTCTTAACGGGGCACAAAAGTGTCATTGAACATTATGGTGTTTTAACCTGTGTACATTGATACTGGATCAATGCGGGGTTACTGTGATGCTTTTAATGACATAGCTGACCAGTATTGTTAAATCATTTTTGAACATGAAAGGCTTAAAAATCGGTTGCTGATATTTCAGTTTGACATTTTAAGAACAACATTTGAAGACTTTACAGATAGTACTCAGATCTACCTTCGTTTTGTGATTGGTAACTGTTGTTTAGTAAAAGTTAACAAAACCATTAACGGATTCAAAGGGAAAATGCAGTTTTCTTTATAATCAGGCTCTGCTACAACTAATTTTAAATTTTTACTGGGAAATTAAATATTTAATATACCTAAAAAAAATTAATAAAGACAACTAGTTCGAAATAAAACTGGTATTTTTGGACATATTTAAGTCTGTGATCCCTATCATACCTTTGTGTAGGTGTATGTAATACGAGTCTTTGCCCTCTAACATTCTACACTTGTTGGTGAAGTCATAAACACGTCATAGATATTTGATCAAGCTCATCCTCTGCTTCATATTATAGTAACAAAATATGGTTATATTATTCCTAGTTATTTACGCCCTGTCACTTGTTTTACGTGACCCAACCAGAGCAGGTTTTATTTTTGGCCGGGTTGCACATATTGCAAATCCCGATTATAGTATGGTGAATGTCAGGCGGGCGGGGGAAAAGGGGTACCAGTTTTGTAGAATCAACTCCTCCCAGAGTTTTTGACGTAGAAGCTTGAAACTTTGTAGGATGTTTATATATATATGTTGAAAATTTGCAACTTTCATTATGGAATCATTCCGGACATTTTTCTGGATTTTCCGGGCTTTGGAAATTAGTCATTTTCTGAAACTTTTCTTGTCATCAGATTTTCTAAGAAACTACTACAAGAATTTTTCCGAAATTCCATATATAAATCACCTTGGGGCCCTAGATGTCCATTGTCTATTTTTTAACATCTCCGGATCAAAAATGGCTGCAACTTCTTTCTTCAAATGCCCTTCTTTTGCACCAATTCATAAAATACAACCAAACTTTCTCTCTTATAACAAATATCCTACATACTCAACAAATGAAACACCCTTAATTGTCTTATAAATACCATATAACATTGCACTCATCCCGCAACTCGGCCAATTGTGACTTTGCCCCATTTTCATGTCTATTCATGTAGAGAGCATTTCATTATGTTGTATGACTGACAACTTCTGACAACAATCTTTGTGAAGTCTTTGTACAAGTTAGTATTTGTTTACATTTCGTTTACTAAATTTTAGGTTAGATTAAATCCGTTAAAATGTTTTAAAAAATATATATATATATAAAAAAAAAACAAAAAACAAAACAAAAAAAACCCCAAAAAATTCCGCTACAACCTGGTGATGAATTCCGCTAGAACCTGGTGATGAATTCCGCTAAAATCTGGAGATGAATTCCGCTAAAACCTGGAGATGAATTCCACTAGAACCTTGTGATGAATTCCGCTAGAACGTGGTGATGAATTCCACTGTCTTTATTGATACGAATAGCTACATGACTAAGTACATTATTACGAATCCAAGTATTTCGTCAATATTTGAGTTCTAAACAATCTAACATTCTTTTGAAAATAAATGTTTTTTTATTTTAATTTTGGTTGAAGACAATTCATCGTACGCAGTTCCTTAACTCATTTACATAACATTACTACCCAACTTATCACGTTTATTTCTTTTGTATGTTCTCATGCTACAGATGTAGATGTTGAGAGCTTACTAGCACTGACTGGTGGGAATTTCCCTTTGGTAGAGTGTCCAGCTTGGGCCGATAAATCGCTAGTTCGTACCCTGGCGGAGGTAGAGTGCTTTTTATCACTCCTTTCCATTACACGTAATTTCATGTGCTTGAGTATACCAAATAAAATCTTGAGATCTTGGTTATAGTTAGGACAGTCGTACTCTGGCCTGTAAGCTGTAGTATTAGACTAAGCTTACCTATAACTGTTATTTTGCTGGTGATACTCTATGGAGATGCTGTGTTCACTGAATTCTGTTTACATTGATTGTGTAATTGTATAAGACGTATTCTGATGATGAAGCAGGTTCGCAAAGACAGTCGGTTTTCTTCTTTCTTTAAGTATGTATTGACACAAAACGCAGTAGCTACCGGGGCAGTTATCTCACAGTGACGATTCTGACACTATACACATAGTGTCCTTATTTACATAGATAAGTCTCTTCTTACATGTACGTCACGGTGAACTAGCAAGGGAAACATGGAAAAGCGAGGCAAATACACTGTTTGTAAGTACTGTATACGCCGTGTATTGTCGGTATTGTAATAAATTTTCTCAAGGAACAGGAGGAAGGCATCGGCTAGGATGTCCTGAAATTCATTGAGGAATTTTCACACAAGATATTTTCGATGAGATATTAGCTGAGGTAAATCTGGGCTTGAGGAAATCTTAAGTTGAGATGTTTTATACAAGTGGGGCCTGGTGTAGCCACTGTGATTGTCACGACGGAAACACAGGGTCAGAAAATCCCTACTATTGTCTGTTCTTGACAGAGGAACTTATTTATATATACATTGTGCAGTGGTTTCTGAAAGGTCCACATACACGATGGAATACTACGAGTGTTGATGTGGTAGACGATCTTAATGTGAAACAAGAATTACGACATCTTTTTGTTGGCAATCTTTCATTTTATTAGACCTCGGAATATGACCCTAAAGTACAAAGTACCTGTAATATCACAACTCATCTAATCTTATCGGTATAAGGTAGATAACTCTAATCAAAATCAATCCGCATGTTTTGGTCACTTTACCCTTTTTTCCGGCGTCGCGCGTCGTAGACTTTGAACATTGACCTAAGGCGCACCAAAATTGTAGATTAAATGGTCCCCAACTCCTAATGGGGACAAAAAACGTCAAATTGATTGAAAATTCAAAAATCTTTTTCTCGAATCCCGAATATGGTAGAATCAAGTACTCTTCATGGATGGAAGGCCTTCAGATGCTACACCAGAAAAAATTGTAAATTTCATGACCCCAGGGTCTCACGGTAAACCTGGGGAGGGGGTAAAATTTACTATACTTTATATAGGAAAATGTCATTTTTTAGCATATTTTGTTTCAGAAACAGTTCAAACTTGGTTGGAATTTATTTTTATAAGTATAAGCTAACTACTTAATGAGATACACATGTCCAAAAGTGGCTAATGTATACACAGTTAGCATTTTTATTATGTGTACAATATACGTAAAGTTTTATCATTTTTTTAACAAAAGACGTATTGTCGTTACAATGATCTACGAGGGATACGCTATGTTTTTTTGTACGATATGAAGTTGTTCGTTAGTGTGCCTAGTGGTTTTCTCGTTTACGTTGTCCTTGTTGTTATCGTTTTTGGACTGACAAAGATTTTCATTACGAGTGTCGTTTATAAAGCCAAAGAGGCTGACCTTTTCCGATACCCATACTTGTATTATGTTTCAGTCAGTATTGTTGGGAAATGGACGTGACGAGAAACACCTAACCTCGTTAGAGATTCTCGGTTGTCTAATCAATGTAAAGTAACCTAGTAATCCACTGTTCACGACTACCTGTTTAACACAATATCTAGGAAATACAATGATAGCTTTCCTTGTTTAACAGTGGAAGTTCCGGAGTGTGATTTAACCCATTACACTGGTCCGGACGGAGGACAATTCAGTCGCTGGAAGGTCAGCGGTCAAGACGACCTCACTCAACCCTATGGAAAACTCTTCAAAGGCGGATTTTTTCCTGATCTACGTTTAAATCTACCGAAGATCAAGGACATGAAATGTCGAAATGACGACATTTTTCTGTGTGCCTATCCAAAGTCAGGTATGGAGGCAGTTTGACGGGACTAAAATGGATTTTTTGTAGATTTGGAAACTTTAAGCTATTTTGTCGTCATTAGTGTAACATTTCCATCATTTATTTTTTGTTTTGAGTCAGGAGCCATCTTAAATGTCACACGTCATTCGTTCAAGGTCACGTGTCAGAGGCTACCACGCAAAGGTCACGCATCAGAAGTTATTTGAACAAGGTCAATGTCAGCGACTACCATGTAAAGGTCAAACGTCAGTATTTATTGGTACTAGGTCACGTGTCAGAGACTACTACATCAAGGTCATATGTCAGAAGTCATCCGTTCTAGGTCACGTGTCAGAGACTACCACATAAAGGTCATATGTCAGAAGTCATCCGTTCTAGGTCACGTGTCAGAGACTACCAAGCTGCTATTACCGTACAGAAAGCAACACTATGATGGTTACAGGTGGATCACGATGATATATAGTGTTGACATCGTGGGTAAGGAAGCATACTGAAGATCTGAGAATGGGTTATCTAGTCAGGTTAATTACACACGTTTAAACGATTATATATGTATTACACATTTGGTCTTTTACTGTTCAAACGAGGATATCTGTAGAATTTATATCTGCTGTCATCACACAAGACACATGCATGGCAATATCAGACCCTACTAGTGGTATTAACCTTGTTTTTATCACAGGTACGCACTGGGTATGGGAGATAGCCAACATGCTGGTGACGGGAGAGCTTAAGTACCTCACCCAAATAAAGGAGGACGCCATGATGGAGCTGCATTACCCAGAGGAATTCGACAACGTGGCATCACCTAGGATACTTAATACTCACCTACCTTTCCGGGTGTTGCCCTCTGACGTCACGAAGAAACATCTTAAGATTATTTTTGTCCAAAGAAATCCGAAAGATGTGATTGTATCAGCTTACAATCATATGAACAAAATGAAACCAGAAAATGAAAGACCAACGTTTAGAGATTTCGTCAGCAATGTATTAGAACATCCCGGTAAACTAATCTACTAGAATTATCATACGAATATTGAAAAAAAACACACAAAAAACAGAAGTTTTTTTTTCCTATCTCCGATTGAATGATGCCTGTTTCAGACTGGTTCCAATATACTCTGACTGAATGTTGTGTGTTTCAGACTGGTTCCAATATACTCTGACTGAATGTTGTGTGTTTCAGACTGGTTCCAATATACTCTGACTGAATGATGTGTGTTTCAGACTGGTTCCAATATACTCTGACTGAATGATCTGTGTTGCAGATTGGTTCCAATATACTCTGACTGAATGATCTGTGTTGCAGATTGGTTCCAATATACTCTGACTGAATGATCTGTGTTGCAGATTGGTTCCAATATACTCTTAAATGGGAGAAAGTCATGGCAGAAAACCCTGAATACCCTATACATATGGTCTACTACGAATCACTCAAAAAGGTAAGACAATCCAGACAGGCGAACACAAATCACTCAAAAAGGTCAGACACCCCAGACAGGCGAACACGAATCACTCAAAAAGGTAAGACAGTCTAGACAGGCGAACACAAATCACTCAAAAAGGTCAGACAACCCAGACAGGCGAACACGAATCATTCAAAAAGGTCAGACAACCCAGACAGGCGAACACGAATCTCTCAAAAAGGTAAGAAAACCCAGACAGGCGAACACGAATCACTCAAAAAGGTCAGAAACCCCAGACAGGCGAACACGAATCACTCAAAAAGGTCAGACAACCCAGACAGGCGAACACGAATCACTCAAAAAGGTCAGACAACCCAGACAGGCGAACACGAATCACTCAAAAAGGTCAGAAACCCCAGACAGGCGAACACAAATCACTCAAAAAGGTCAGACAACCCAGACAGGCGAACACGAATCACTCAAAAAGGTAAGACACCCCAGATAGGAATCACTCAAAAAGGTGTTTCAGACTTTCACGAATCACTCAAAAAGGTCAGACAACCCAGACATGCGAACACGAATCTCTCAAAAAGGTCAGAAAACCCAGACAGGCGAACACGAATCACTCAAAAAGGTCAGAAACCCCAGACAGGCGAACACGAATCACTCAAAAAGGTAAGACAACCCAGACAGGCGAACACGAATCACTCAAAAAGGTAAGACAACCCAGACAGGCGAACACGAATCACTCAAAAAGGTCAGACACCCCAGACAGGCGAACACGAATCACTCAAAAAGGTCAGACAACCCAGACAGGCGAACACGAATCACTCAAAAAGGTAAGACAACCCAGACAGGCGAACACGAATCACTCAAAAAGGTCAGACAACCCAGACAGGCGAACACGAATCACTCAAAAAGGTCAGACAACCCAGACATGCGAACACGAATCTCTCAAAAAGGTCAGAAAACCCAGACAGGCGAACACGAATCACTCAAAAAGGTAAGACAACCCAGACAGGCGAACACGAATCACTCAAAAAGGTAAGACAACCCAGACAGGCGAACACGAATCACTCAAAAAGGTAAGACAACCCAGACAGGCGAACACGAATCACTCAAAAAGGTAAGACAACCCAGACAGGCGAACACGAATCACTCAAAAAGGTCAGACAACCCAGACAGGCGAACACGAATCACTCAAAAAGGTAAGACAACCCAGATAGGCGAACACGAATCACTCAAAAAGGTCAGACAACCCAGACATGCGAACACGAATCTCTCAAAAAGGTCAGACAACCCAGACAGGCGAACACGAATCGCTCAAAAAGGTCAGACAACCCAGACAGGCGAACACGAATCACTCAAAAAGGTAAGACAGTCTAGACAGGCGAACACGAATCACTCAAAAAGGCGAACACGAATCACTCAAAAAGGTCAGACACCACAAATAGGCGAACACGAATCTCTCAAAAATGTAAGACAACCCAGACAGGCGAACACGAATCACTCAAAAAGGTCAGATTACCCAGACAGGCGAACACGAATCACTCAAAAAGGTCAGACAACCCAGACAGGCGAACACGAATCACTCAAAAAGGTCAGACAACCCAGACAGGCGAACACGAATCACTCAAAACGGTCAGACAACCCAGACAGGCGAACACGAATCACTCAAAAAGGTCAGACAACCCAGACAGGCGAACACGAATCACTCAAAACGGTCAGACAACCCAGACAGGCGAACACGAATCACTCAAAAAGGTCAGACAACCCAGACAGGCGAACACGAATCACTCAAAAAGGTCAGACAACCCAGACAGGCGAACACGAATCACTCAAAAAGGTCAGACAACCCAGACAGGCGAACACGAATCACTCAAAAAGGTCAGACAACCCAGACAGGCGAACACGAATCATTCAAAAAGGTCAGACAACCCAGACAGGCGAACACGAATCACTCAAAAAGGTAAGACAACCCAGACAGGCGAACACGAATCACTCAAAAAGGTAAGACAACCCAGACAGGCGAACACGAATCACTCAAAAAGGTAAGACAGTCTAGACAGGCGAACACGAATCACTCAAAAAGGTCAGACAACCCAGACATGCGAACACGAATCACTCAAAAAGGTAAGACAACCCAGACAGGCGAACACGAATCACTCAAAAAGGTAAGACAGTCTAGACAGGCGAACACGAATCACTCAGAAAGGTAAGACAACCCAGACAGGCGAACACGAATCACTCAAAAAGGTCAGACAACCCAGACAGGCGAACACGAATCACTCAAAAAGGTCAGACAACCCAGATAGTTGAACACGAATCTCTCAAAAAGGTCAGACAACCCAGACAGGCGAACACGAATCACTCAAAAAGGTAAGACAACCCAGACAGGCGAACACGAATCACTCAAAAAGGTCAGACACCACAAATAGGCGAACACGAATCTCTCAAAAATGTAAGACAACCCAGACAGGCGAACACGAATCACTCAAAAAGGTCAGATTACCCAGATAGTTGAACACGAATCTCTCAAAAAGGTCAGACAACCCAGACAGGCGAACACAATCACTCAAAACGGTCAGACAACCCAGACAGGCGAACACAAATCACTCAAAAAGGTCAGACAAAGACAGGCGAACACAAATCAGACAACCCAGACAGGCGAACACAAATCACTCAAAAAGGTCAGACAACCCAGACAGGCGAACACAAATCACTCAAAAAGGTCAGACAGTCTAGACAGGCGAACACAAATCACTCAAAAAGGTCAGAAACCCCAGACAGGCGAACACAAATCATTCAAAAAGGTCAGACAACCCAGACAGGCGAACACAAATCACTCAAAAAGGTCAGACAACCCAGACAGGCGAACACAAATCACTCAAACACCCCAGGCGATCAGGCGACAACCCAGACAGAATCACTCAAAAAGGTAAGACAACCCAGACAGGCGAACACGAATCACTCAAAAAGGTCAGAAAACCCAGACAGGCGAACACGAATCACTCTAAAAGGTCAGACAGCCAAGGTAAGTGACCAGTATTTGACCAGAAAGGTAGGTGACTACGAATCGTTCGGAAAGGTTCTTATTAGCAACCACAAATGTCCACAAAAGACTGTCTAAAGAGGAAGTCACCGCGGTTCTTTAGAAAAGATAAACGCAAAGAAAAACCAAGTTCGCCATTACGGTCCTTTTGAAAAAAACAAGGGAACAAACAGTCTCTTAAAAAAGGTCAGGCAATCCAAATAAAGTCTCGGAATTTTACACGCGAACGAGATAAAAAAAAAAAAAAAAAACTCAATGTAAAGAAGAGACACTTTTGGTATCATTTGGTATATAAATGTATCATGTTGATTTCTGAAGTAATTTTGGAAATATCGGAAATTGAACGAAATGATTCCATCTGACGATAGCGGGAGATCAGGTCCTTTTCCCATATACAATTATATTGACGCGCGTCAGAGACCGGCAAGACAGAACGATGCTATAATAACGGAATCCTATTAGTGTACTGAATGGACAGAACCCTGAAAGCCGTAAAACTAATACTATTCAGGATTTTGTATTCCTTTCCGGGGAAAGAATGAAACTGCGTAAAATATACATTATAAAAGGTAATTTTAGGTAGAAATAGTGATGTCTATATGTTGTCACTCATTAGAATAACCATGGTTTATTGACAGAACTTCAAATCTAACAATTGATAACATCATACTTGGCGCAAGTAGGGTTAGTGTTAATGAGCATAACCACGTACACTGATTATTTCGAAATATTTTTAAACGATATTGTGTATATTGATCGTGGTATGAACTTTCAAAACCAGGACCGTTATTTGTATTTTGTTACTTGTTTATCGAAGGATGTCTCCTTGTCTTTTTTCCCTTAATAGAACCCTGAGGAGGAGATTGCCCGTCTGGCTAGGTTTTTAGGGAAGGACAGGGATGAGACATTTATAGCAGAAGTGGCCAAAATGTGCAGATTCTCCAACATGAAAAAGGCCAACGACCAGGTGAAAGACCACTCGGAATACCCCATGTTTGATAAGTTGATGAAGGGAATGTACAGGAAAGGTAAGTATTCTTAAGTACAGCAATGGGATGAAATGTAAATGGGATGAAATGTAAAAATTGTTAATCGACAGTATTCAAATCACCCTTCGTCCATGCTCTGGCATCCTTGATCATCCGTCTGTCCTGAAACAATCTTTATTTTTATATTTCATGTATAGGGTCCCAGTGACCCCTAATTTTGCATTGTCTCATTTTGGAACTGATCGAAAAAACAAAAATGGCCAACAAGCGTCCATTTTTGAGTTTGACAGTAATGCTTTGTTATCGCTAATTGTTAAGAAGTGCTTGATGGATCTTTCTCAAATTTCACATGTAGATTCAGCTTGGTTCCTAGTTTTGAGGACTTTATTTTGAAGATTGTCGATAGGCGGTCATTGTGGTTTTTGAAAGTCGTTATTTCTGGAGAAGTTCTGGACGAATCTTTTCCAAGTTTCATATATTGGTTCAGTGTGGTGCGTTGTTGTACCCTTTCGAATCTGGAACTGATCAGAAAAACTGAATAACTAATAGGTGGATATCTTGGATTTTGACAGTGAAAGTTTGTTATCGTCTTAAGCCTGGTAAATGTCAAGCCGTAATATAGCGCTAGGTTTGAGAGAACTTTAGCTTGATCGGTTTAGAGTCTGACTAGTAAGCCAGAGGTCTCGGGTTTGCATCCTAGCGGAGCCATTGAAAAAGATAATGCCCTCTGTCAAATTGGCGTCCAAGTAGGGACAGGGGGGGAGACTTAGCTTTGTCCCATTAGCATTGCTGTAACCCATGGAAAGCGTAAGGACGAATTCTTCCCTGGAGGGGGGAACAAGTAACCCTGATCCAATACATCTGATGTACGGATTTCCTAAAGGTCTGTATACTTTGGACCTGAAGAATGGCAAACGATCACAGGTGGTCTCTGGCAAAATAACCATGAAAATATCCGAAATCCTGAGTAAGAACCGAGATGGGTGTAGTATGGATATCGGCGCGTAACTTAGGATAAGGCACATTCGAAAACATATGTCAACCTGTCAGTCATTTGATATGAAAATATTGTACTTCTCAGAACTTTTTCCTAATGTTATATACATCGGAATGGAAGGTGTCAGGGTACGGTAAAAGCTCGAAAAAATGCATCAGAATGTTCGTGCCCTTCAAATCATGGTCTACTCAACCAACTCCGCTTTACTCCCACATCCTCCTATAAATCTACTCTCCTTCCCCTCGTTATAAGCTTTACCCCTCGTCCTATAACGTTGTTCTCCCTTCCCCCGTATAAGGCTATACTCCGATAAATCTACTCTCCATCCCCTCGTAATAAGGTTTACCCCTACACCTCGTCCTATAACGCTGTTCTCCCTTCCCCCGTATAAAGATATACTCCGATAAATCTACTCTCCATCCCCTCGTAATAAGGTTTACCCCTACACCTCGTCCTATAACGCTGTTCTTCCTTCCCCCGTATAAAGATATACTCTGATAAATCTACTCTCCATCCCCTCGTAATAAGGTTTACCCCTACACCTCGTCCTATAACGCTGTTCTCCCTTCCCCCGTATAAAGATATACTCCGATAAATCTACTCTCCATCCCCTCGTAACAAGGTTTACCCCTACACCTCGTCCTATAACGCTGTTCTCCCTTCCCCCGTATAAGGCTATACTCCGATAAATCTACTCTCCATCCCCTCGTAACAAGGTTTACCCCTACACCTCGTCCTATAACGCTGTTCTCCCTTCCCCCGTATAAAGACATACTCTGATAAATCTACTCTCCATCCCCTCGTAATAAGGTTTACCCCTACACCTCGTCCTATAACGCTGTTCTCCCTTCCCCCGTATAAAGATATACTCTGATAAATCTACTCTCCATCCCCTCGTAACAAGGTTTACCCCTACACCTCGTCCTATAACGCTGTTCTTCCTTCCCCCGTATAAAGATATACCTCACACTTCCTCCTTTGAAAAGACTGGTTTTCTTTATTCACCCCTAAAGAAAGCTCTATTCATCCTCCGTCGGAAATCCCTTTGATATAAATATTTATCCCGATTTCGTTGTATATCCACTCATTTCCCTCATTTGTCAATCAATATTCACATTGTCCATTTTTTGTCGTTTTTAGGGGAAATTGGTGATTGGAAAAACTGGTTTACTGTAGCCCAAAATTTGCAGTATGATGAAATCTTCAAGGAAAAAATGAAAGATTCAAAACTCAAATTTGTATTTACATAATCAAGGTACGTTCTGACCACACGAAAAAAAAACCTGATGTTTCCTCCTCCACCTCGGTGTCTGACAGTCTCCAGGGACGGCGTTTTGGTAACTTTTACAGTGATTTGCAGCTTATTTCGGCCAAGACATACATGACATGTTTAAGCAGACCCGTCTATTGATTGAGCTGTTGCCAGTGATTGTCGTCCTAGACTAGGTAGCCATTTTGTAGATCTTGATTTACAGCTTAAAACGGATTTTCGATATAGCATCTATCAGACATATTGGATTTTAACGGCCCCAAAAACAATTCGACATACCATTTCCTTGAACTTGAAGCAATATTATTCAGTCAGTTCAGTAAAATTTAATCACGTTTTCTAGATGGTTACCATGACGGCCATACTGAGTTTCAAGTTGCCGCCAAAAGTTACAAGAATTATTCTGGATCATATATTGATCAAATCCACTTAAATTGAACTTAATTCAGAGGAAACACGACGAAGACGAACAAGATGAAACAAACATAAGCCTAATGGTGATTTAAAGATTTCAAAAATTAATTTCTGTAGGGAAAATCAATGACATTTTACCTATGGCCATATTCCCCTTGGAGATCTATACATAAATACAATAAAAGTGTGTGACATTTCATTTATGTAATTATAAAGATCAAGACAGCTTTCTGTTATGTTTTGTTACATTTACATATGCCAACAAGTAAACAACAGCCTCTGGATAAACAACCGTCATACCACAGTGATAATCACCAGTCCTTAGACAGACCTTTGTTCATACGTCATACCACAGTGATAATCACCAGTCCTTCGACAGACCTTTGTTCATACGTCATACCACAGCGATAATCACCAGCCCTTAGACAAACCTTTGTTCATACGTCATACCACAGTGATAATCACCAGTCCTTAGACAAACCTTTGTTCATACGTCATACCACAGCGATAATCACCAGCCCTTAGACAAACCTTTGTTCATACGTCATACCACAGTGATAATCACCAGTCCTTAGACAGACCTTTGTTCATACGTCATACCACAGCGATAATCACCAGCCCTTAGACCGACCCTTGTTCATACGTCATACCACAGTGATAATCACCAGTCCTTAGACAGACCTTTGTTCATACGTCATACCACAGCGATAATCACCAGCCCTTAGACAAACCTTTGTTCATACGTCATACCACAGCGATAATCACCAGCCCTTAGACAAACCTTTGTTCATACGTCATACCACAGCGATAATCACCAGCCCTTAGACAAACCTTTGTTCATACGTCATACCACAGCGATAATCACCAGCCCTTAGACCGACCCTTGTTCATACGTCATACCACAGCCATAATCACCAGCCCTTAGACAAACCTTTGTTCATACGTCATACCACAGCCATAATCACCAGTTCTTAGACCGACCCTTGTTCATACGTCATACCACAGTGATAATCACCAGTCCTTAGACCGACCCTTGTTCATACGTCATACCACAGCGATAATCACCAGTCCTTAGACAAACCTTTGTTCATACGTCATACCACAGCGATAATCACCAGCCCTTAGACAGACCTTTGTCCATACGTCATACCACAGCGATAATCACCAGTTCTTAGACCGACCCTTGTTCATACGTCATACCACAGTGATAATCACCAGTTCTTAGACCGACCCTTGTTCATACGTCATACCACAGCGATAATCACCAGTCCTTAGACCGACCCTTGTTCATACGTCATACCACAGCCATAATCACCAGCCCTTAGACAAACCTTTGTTCATACGTCATACCACAGCGATAATCACCAGCCCTTAGACAAACCTTTGTTCATACGTCATACCACAGCGATAATCACCAGCCCTTAGACAAACCTTCGTTCATACGTCATACCACAGCGATAATCACCAGCCCTTAGACAAACCTTCGTTCATACGTCATACCACAGCGATAATCACCAGCCCTTAGACAAACCTTTGTTCATACGTCATACCACAGCGATAATCACCAGCCCTTAGACAGACCTTTGTCCATACGTCATACCACAGCGATAATCACCAGCCCTTAGACAGACCTTTGTTCATACGTCATACCACAGCGATAATCACCAGCCCTTAGACAAACCTTTGTTCATACGTCATACCACAGCGATAATCACCAGTCCTTAGACAGACCTTTGTTCATACGTCATACCACAGCGATAATCACCAGCCCTTAGACAGACCTTCGTTCATACGTCATACCACAGCGATAATCACCAGCCCTTAGACAAACCTTCGTTCATTCGTCATACCACAGTGATAATCACCAGTCCTTAGACAAACCTTCGTTCATTCGTCATACCACAGTGATAATCACCAGCCCTTAGACAAACCTTCGTTCATTCGTCATACCACAGCGATAATCACCAGCCCTTAGACAAACCTTTGTTCATACGTCATACCACAGTGATAATCACCAGCCCTTAGACAAACCTTCGTTCATTCGTCATACCACAACGATAATCACCAGCCCTTAGACAGACCTTCGTTCATACGTCATACCACAGCGATAATCACCAGCCCTTAGACAGACCTTTGTTCATACGTCATACCACAGCGATAATCACCAGCCCTTAGACAAACCTTTGTTCATACGTCATACCACAGCGATAATCACCAGCCCTTAGACAGACCTTTGTTCATACGTCATACCACAGCGATAATCACCAGCCCTTAGACAAACCTTTGTTCATACGTCATACCACAGCGATAATTACCAGCCCTTAGACAAACCTTTGTTCATACGTCATACCACAGCGATAATCACAAGCCCTTAGACAAACCTTTGTTCATACGTCATACCACAGTGATAATCACCAGTCCTTAGACCGACCCTTGTTCATACGTCATACCACAGCCATAATCACCAGCCCTTAGACAAACCTTTGTTCATACGTCATACCACAGCGATAATCACCAGCCATTAGACAAACCTTTGTTCATACGTCATACCACAGCGATAATCACCAGCCCTTAGACAGACCTTTGTCCATACGTCATACCACAGCGATAATCACCAGCCCTTAGACAAACCTTTGTTCATACGTCATACCACAGCGATAATCACCAGTCCTTAGACATACCTTTGTTCATACGTCATACCACAGCGATAATCACCAGCCCTTAGACAGACCTTCGTTCATACGTCATACCACAGCGATAATCACCAGCCCTTAGACAAACCTTCGTTCATTCGTCATACCACAGTGATAATCACCAGTCCTTAGACAAACCTTCGTTCATTCGTCATACCACAGTGATAATCACCAGCCCTTAGACAAACCTTCGTTCATTCGTCATACCACAGCGATAATCACCAGCCCTTAGACAAACCTTCGTTCATACGTCATACCACAGCGATAATCACCAGCCCTTAGACAAACCTTCGTTCATTCGTCGTACCACAGCGATAATCACCAGCCCTTAGACAGACCTTCGTTCATTCGTCGTACCACGGCGATAATCACCAGCCCTTAGACAGACCTTCGTTCATTCGTCGTACCACAGCGATAATCACCAGCCCTTAGACAGACCTTCGTTCATTCGTCATACCACAGCGATAATCACCAGTCCTTAGACAAACCTTCGTTCATTCGTCGTACCACGGCGATAATCACCAGTCCTTAGACCGACCCTTGTCCATACTTCATACCACAGTGATAATCACCAGTCCTTAGACAAACCTTCGTTCATTCGTCGTACCACAGTGATAATCACCAGCCCTTAGACAAACCTTCGTTCATTCGTCGTACCACGGCGATAATCACCAGTCCTTAGACAAACCTTCGTTCATTCGTCGTACCACGGCGATAATCACCAGTCCTTAGACCGACCCTTGTCCATACTTCATACCACAGTGATAATCACCAGTCCTTAGACAGACCTTTGTTCATACGTCATACCACGGCGATGATCACCAGTCCTTAGACAGACCTTTGTTCATACGTCGTACCACGGCGATGATTATCTGTTCCAAGACAATAATCTTACATTCATCTTAAGTACCAGCGATAATTATCAGTTCCTAGTCAAACATTCGTCCATCTCTCACACATCTCTCACACTCGCCTGTTCCTAGAAAATATTCATACATTCGTCATACCACAGCGATAATCACCAGCCACTTGACAAATTTCCGTTCATTATTTATATTACAGCGATAATCACCAGCCCCTAGAGCCAAGAGACATGTTCGTCATATCAAGGTGTTGGCCAAGGAGAAACAACCAAACCAGGGGCCATTGTAATACGAGGATTTTATAAAATTTTTGTGTGTCGGTCTCAGTGAAGGGTGAATCATTGGGTGTCGGTCCCAGAGATCGGTGAATCTTTGTGCATTGGTCCCATCGATGGGTGAATCTTTGTGTATCGATCCCATTGATTGGTGAAAAATTGTGTGTCGGTCCCAGAGATAGGTGAATCTTTGTGTGTCGGTTCCAGGAGGGGTGATTCTTTGTGTGTCGGTTTCAACGAGGCGTGAATCATTGTGTGTCGGTCCTAGCGATGGGTGAACAATTGTGTGTCGGTTCCAGCAATCAGTGAATCATTATGTGTCGGCCCCCGGGATTGGTGAATCAATGTGTGTCGGTCCCAGCGATTAGTGAATCTATGTGTGTCGGTCAATGAGATTGATCTTTGTGGGCCGGTCCAAGCTATAAAATCGATCTTTGTGGGCCGGTCAAAGCTATAAAATTGATCTTTGTGGGCCGGTCCAAGCTATAAAATTTATCTTTGTGGGCTGGTCCAAGCGATGTGATGAATCTTTGTGATGAGATCATTTATGTATCTGCCTTAATGAGTTTATCTTTTAATCCGTTTCATCAATGAAGTGAACCAAGCGATGAGAGAAGTCTTCATTTTACGAGCCATATCAGAGGGTCGTTAAACTAAGGCCGATTATCGTTCTTTCAGCAATCGTATCTAGTGAAGCCTGACTGTAAGAGGATTGCACCAGCTCAGTCTGAGAGA